ATGTACCAGGAACAAAAAAACGCCACCAAACAACTGGTACAACAGAAGCTGGCTGCTGCAGACCTAGACAAAATTAGGGAAATACGGTCAAGTGGGAAAGATGCGCCCAGGAAGTTTTGGAAATACCTGGGAACCCTGGACGGCAGGGATCAAACTCCAGTCATCATAGACGAGCGCACAGGATTGGAGGTGAACGCGCTTGACCAGTGTCTCACAGAGCATTTGATGGAAGTGTTCGCACCACAGGAAACGGCGCTGGTCCAAACAATCACTATAGAGAACAGCACGGAATGTACTCTCGCAAGTTCCGACGAGAAGATTGGCCTAGTGTCAATTGTACGTGCTCTGGCCCACGTCAAAAGCAGCACGGCTCCAGGCTTAGACGAGATACCAGCATGCGTCCTCAAAACACTACAAAAGGATTCGAGAGAACACCTGGCTGAGATCTTCACGGACATTCTCATCGGAAGACAGCCTGTACCTAGAGACTGGAGGCGAGGTAGGGTTGTGCTTGTGCCGAAGAAAGGAGGAGATCGGCGCTACCTTCGGAACTACAGGCCCCTTACAGTCACCAGCATTGTGTACAGGGTCTTCGCAAGCATCCTGAAAGAGCGCATGACAACATGGGCGGAGAAAGAGGGTATTCTCACCGAGCTCCAAGGAGGGTTTCGTCGTGGCCGGCGACTGGAGGACAACGTGTACACCCTTACACAGTGCATTGAAGTGGCTCGAAAAGAGGAGAGAAGACTAATATGCACCTTCTTAGACGTCGCAAAGGCTTATGACAGCGTTCCACACGACAAGCTACTATCAAGACTGGAACAGCTCGAAATGCCGACTCAGTGGACCGAGCTTATTAATCGCTTATACACAGGCAATACGGTGACAACCCAAGTGGGAGAGGTCAGATCAGAAGAAATCGTCGTAACACGTGGATTACGCCAAGGATGCCCACTCTCGCCGCTTCTCTACATGTTGTATGTCGCGCGACTAGAGGAGCGGTTGATAAAATCAGGACTGGGCTTCTCGCTACTGCACGTTGAAAATGGAGAGGCCGTGAACTGGGTGCTACCGGGTCTGACCTTCGCGGACGACATTGTGCTGACGGCGGGCTGTGCAACGGCGATGCAGCAACTTCTCGACATATGTGCTGATGAGGCTGCCATGCTTGGTCTCAAGTACAACACATCCAAGTCCGCCGTGATACAATTCGCGGGCACTGAGAAAGAAGAGCTCGATAGCCTCAGATTGGGGCTTGACGTATTACCGGTACTGAATAAGTATAAGTACCTAGGCGTTGAGTTGTCCAACGAGGCAGACTATCTGAAAGAGCATTACGTCCACCTCCGTCAATCCGCCACACGGGGAGCTAACATCCTCCGTAAGCGCAGCCTATGGAGCTGTAACAGATTCATAGTGAGCCGCGAAATGTGGAAGGCGGTGGTGGTGCCTGGTTTGACGTTCGCCAACGCAGTGGTGTGTGTACCAGGTGACACAAGAACCGCTTTGGAGCGCAGACAACGAGAAGTGGGACGCCAAGCGCTGGGCTGCCATGGCACGGTGGCGAATGAGGCAGTGCAGGGGGACCTGGGCTGGTCGTCTTTCGAAGCGAGGGAGGCGACAAGCAAGGTTTCCTATGACGGGCGGCTTCGACTCATGGACCGGTGCCGTTGGGCCAAGAGGCTGTTCATATACACACATATGACTTCCCTGCAGAGCCGTTGGCGAAAGCGCCTCTACCAGCTTGAGAAAAAGTTCGGCTTCTTCACAGAACCGGTGGAGGCGACCACAGAGAAAGAATGGGAGTCTGTGGTGCGGAAAAGGGTCCGCGAACAGGAGAATGTACAATGGCTGGAGGCTGCCCGGACAAAGTCAACCCTTACCATGTATGCGGAGTTAAAACAGCAAATCACGGCAGAGACGCGGCTGTACGACAACAGCTTGGGCAGCCGCCTATTGTTCGAGGCTCGTGCTGGAGCCCTGCGCACACTGGTGTACAAACAGCGCTTCGACAATAGTGTGCAGTCGACTGTATGCCGAGTATGCGAGGGTGAGAGCGAAACCGCAGAGCACATCATACTCCGTTGTGGCGGAATCCGACCTTCTGCCACTTCTGCCACCGAAGAGGCGAACCGACTACACGAAGGTGTCCCGCCTCTAGCGGCAGCGTTGGGCTTCTCGTCAACAAGCGAGGCAGCCAATACTACTGAAGCCTTTTGGAAGACCATCGAGCAGACGAAAAGACGACTGGAGGATTGGTGGCATCATACACAACACAGGGGGCGCTGAATTCACCCCCAGGCTTGGGCACGATTATTTGAGCCCGCCCGTTATAAAGGGAGCAGCCGCAGTATCATCATCATCATCATCATCGGGTAGAGTGCCTTCATACACACGCGCGCTTTTGCTTGCGTGGTGACATCTCAGCCATTTTTCCGCCCAATCGTTTTTTTTATGCATTTTGAAGTGCGCGCAATCTAGTGTCATTCAGCTAGAGCGCGTAGCTTCGGCTAATGCATAGACGCCATTTTACCGCCCAAGTCACGCACCGAGTGCGCGAGAGCGTAACGCGCAGGCACATTCAGCGCAACAATGGATGTCTTCACCCTGAGACAGACAGACATGTAGGCACCCTACAACGGGGCTCTGCTACGGCCCACGGGGCAAGGAGGCCGGTCGGGCAGTGTTTAGCAAGGCTGGCTTGAGGCGTGTTGGTGTACTATTTTCTTGTTTTGCGTTGTGTGTGAAGCGATGCAATACTGTGTAACTGGCTAGCTGTGCCGAAGAGGCAAGGGACTCACAACGATGTCAAATATTGCGAAGAAAAAGATAGAGCGGCGGTATTTCGTGCCGGGGTGTAACGTTGGTCACAACACATGCAAGGAGAAACACTCCTTGTTTCGGACGCCCAGCGATGCCTCTGTTCGCGGAATGAGATCGTCGGATTCCAAGAAAAAGTTGGACTGCGTCACTCGATTGCATTTCTTTCTGAAGAAAAAAACTAACAGCTCATACAGAGAGAGAGAGAGAAGAAAAAAATTAAATAAAAATTGTCTAAGAGGAATGTGTAAACTGTGAGACATGTCAAAGAAAAAAAAATTCTCCAAGTGGGATTGCTCTTTAATAAAGACTGCAGTCGAAGTTGCTTTATTTGTCTATATATAACCCGCATATTCGTCAAAATGACTTCCCGATTGCTACTAAAACCTGAATTGAAATTCGAGTATCAGCCGCTTAGTGGGGCGCCAGCGGGTTAACATGCTCCTTGGCTCAAGAAGCGCTTGATTAATTTTCGTAATTTCCCTGCAGCTTGTGTTGTTGACCGAGCAAACGACTGGAGCTTTCTTAAACGTGGATAAGCACAAAAGTTCGATTTCGCAGACAGATAAGTCGCATGGTCGAGGCATGCGATTTAGCTGAAAATTACTCTCGGTGGAACAATTCCCGCCTTCCTTAGCTGGTCAAAACTGATTAGAGTTTATTACCGTCTCTCCGGAGCCCATAGTTTCGGTGTTGAACGAAATCTCCGAAACAAAAGTTTGACATGAAAAGAAAAAGCACCAGAAAAACAAAACTATGCTCTGCACGTTTATGTGCACCAGCTACACTTAACTGTCGCAGTTCGAATACCTATAAAACAGGGCATTAATCGAAAGAAAATCTGTAAAATTGAATGCGTCACCCGTTCAGGCGGCCCGCCCGAGCCGACGCGACCTGTTCCCAGCCGCCATGTTTGTTTGGTGGAGGCGCCACCAAACAAAGTCGCGAATACTTCCGGAGCCCCTGCCATTGACATTGCAGTATTATGATGAAATACCGATATGCCCGAAGAAATTCAGCTGAACTTGCTAAGACTATCCCCTCGCTGCCACTTGTCCGCTGATAAGGCTTGTTTAGCTTACTTTGCTGACGGTGTTGGACGCCTAAAGATGTGATATCTAAGCACGGCATTCGACATAATCCTAATCAAGGTTTCCTAGAAATATCACTATACCCAAATATCCTTCTTAATCTTAATGTGAAAATGTTAATATCAGTTTAAAGCCACGGTTTTTGAAATTTTAACCGCAAGGGTGAGGCATCACACCAGCATTCACAATTTTTATGTTTCCCAGACTCGACACGGTGCGCGTGTACCATCCCACTCTGTATGAGCGCTTTTCCTCCAAGCACGTGGCTACACTATTTTCGGCCGGCCCTACACCATCAAGCGCCCTGGGCAAACTTCGGCCGTAGCCCTCCCCCCCCCCCCCCCCCCCCCCCCCCCGCGTTTTTTTTTTTTTTTTTGATGGCGAGCGACCCCCCGTTGCCAGCCTTAGGATTGGGCGACCTGGCGGTCATACAAGGGCACCATCAACGCAACCCCCCCACAAAAGAAAAATTGAATGTTTTTTCTTCAATTATTTTTGGAATGCAGCTCTCGGCTGACAAAACGTTCGTGTTGGGCCACTACTCCGATGCTTACTAAGAATGTGCTGTCAAACCAAGTGGATATGGGCATCAAGAGAGAGGGGGGGGGGGCACCGTGGCTGAAGTTCGTCCTGGGCACTTGATGGTGTAAGGCCAGCCATGGCTACAGTGAAGCGAGATACGCAAGATCACATCTACACCGTGGGTGTCGCCTCTCCACAATGCACCAGCGCCCAGGGAGAAGCACTCAAGTTGCAGCTGAGCCAACTAACCCACCGAACAGGACACAATGAGGAATATTGAGGAACTTCCATGTACTGTCAATGTTCGATACGAACAACAAACCAAAGAGTATGATGTTCTCAGATATAATCGGAAAATTTTGAACATTTGCACGTGCCTACAGTAACAATCTGGCAGTGCAGCAGAGCCGGAGTTATTCATTTCAGTATTGTATAAATTAACTTATGTCGCAGTGGTGCAAATTTCTTGCATCTTGGTGAAATGCAGTAAGATGGGGCAGGGTAAACACAGCAATCATATCAGTGAACTTGATTAATGGACCAAAAGAAGGACACTTGCCCTGGTTATTTGCATGCACAATTTTATTATAACTCTACTCCAAACTAATAAAATAGGGCATATTACTAACAACAGCCTCGCTTTTTAGTCAGGTCCAACGGTTTCATGGCTCAAGAAACAGTCTATAGAACATGACATTCCCTGTGTATTATCGCAAATAGTATGAGGGGGGAACGCCAGAGTGCGTGGCCTTTGATACATGCAGTGCTACCTCGAGGCTGAAAAAATTGTGGAGTGGAGGGGAGGCTATGAGAGTGCACATTTACTCCAATCTGCGCACCCTCGCAGCCTCCCCCTCCACACTACGGTGTTTTATCAGCCTCGAGGAAGCACAACATGTATCAAGGCGCTTTGGCGTTCCCCCTCATACTGTTTGCGATAGTACATTTCAGTAAGTGGTTTCCACTCTGAACTGTAACTCAGATGTCACAGCCTCTTGGAGACCCACAATGGCTTTTGAAACATTGTTCCACAATGCTATGAATTTCTATCAAAACCTATTGAGTCACACACAGAATTTCATTATGCCAATGAACTTTGTTGGGGTTTCATCGAAGGAAGCGATGCATACAAGTGGCGGACCATGTTGGGTACACACAGATGTGGTGCTGGAGATGGGCTCAAGTAGTGATGCAAATATGTACACACACAAATACACGCTCAATCACATATTGTCCACACAGTGCGTGCAGCAGTCATTACCGCGTGGTCATGAAAAACAAAACACATCAAAACTGAGCATGAACATGATTCCTCGACAGGAGGAGCAGGGTAGGGCAACAAAACAAAGTAAATGTTCCAATACTATAGTAGTGCTTGCCAGGTACAACATGACAGAGCCCCAAAATCACTCCTCTGCACACAAGACGAGAGAAACAAAAATGCAGTTTCTTTCAATTCGCACAAAAACAAGCATTCACACTGTAAAAGTAAGAGTTATCCCCATGCACCCAAGAAAAATCAGTGAAAACCACACATACTGCTATTTATAGGTACAAACAAAAGTGCACAAGGGGTTTGTACAACCAGTACCCATCAGAAGAAAAGCTCACAGCTTCACCCCCGACAAAAAAAACAAAAAAAAAGATATTAGCCAGGCGTTTTCTAACCTGCAGGTCTAAACGAATCTCAAAACATACATCTTAGTTTTTCTGTTTTACAACAAAAAGAAATGAAAATGAGAAGTCAGCAACCAAGAGGGGCCCCTTCTCATTTACCACTGAACACTTTTGCACATAAAAACAAGAAAAACAAGTCAGGAGAGATGTGGGGTGTAAGGTGTTGGTTTGAATCCCAATTGTAACGGGCCACCAAAATGGTAACCCGTTACACCGGTTCACCATTTTCCTGCATCAAGATGTATGTGGTGGTTGTCCCATCTTCTTCTTGCACCTTCTCTTCACTTGGGCCATTCACACCTGGGGCTGCTGGCATTGCCAAGATCGTCTCATCTTCCTCGTCCTGCGTAGAACAAGCAAGGGAGTATAAAATGAAAGCTCGTGAAGTGTTACACCCAGCCATCCGACAAAGTCTATTCTGCATGGTGCAGACACTGCTCATGCTTAAGGCTGCTAAAATGGCCAATGGAAGTTAGATATTTCAGAGGTAATCCTTGCTCTAGCTTTTGAAAGTAAGTGCTTGCAGCAACTGGCTAAACTTAGTTTCAAATAGCAATACCTTTGAAAAAAAATAGAAAGAAATTAACAATAAAGAAGTTTGTCACAAATATATTTACCTCATTGACTCCTATATAAGGAAAAAAAAAAGTTGCTCTTTTGGAATGACTTATCTCAACAAAAGAAGTGAACACTAAAAGAAAAGTTACAACCGAGCCCAGGCTCAAAACAATTAAATGAAGCCGCATTGCATAATTTCAGTAAGGCTAGGTGTTTGATATTCTGCATCTTAAAGCCCCGAAAGATTTCAGCAACCAAAAGAGCTTGCAAACACTTTTCTTTTTACAAAAAAAAAAAAAAAAGAGCAAGTACTAACATTGAATCCGAAGCACTCTTCCATGTCCTTCTGCTTCTGCTCAAGCCTTCTCCGTGCAATCTCTTCCTCTCGCTGTGGGGTGTCCATTTCGGTCTTCGCCATCCCCAATACCTCCTCGCCTGCACAAGAGATAGCACCATTCCAAAATTAGAATCATCAACAAAATCTTCATATAGGATGCACGTTGTGTGCCAAACTTCTGTATACCTTGGTTGCTGACAGTAACATCCATCGTGGCATACTTCCGTGGCCTCCCCCTTGGTCTCTTCAATGGTGCAACTGCTGATGGAAGAAAGGACTGACACTTAGCAAATGTGATGAAGTTATGCAAGTTCTTCAATGAAAACAAAAACAAAAAAACAAGCAAAATCCATTGAAATAAAACATACAGTAACCATACAGACGCTGACCTTTTTTTCAGACTCCGATAACTCAGACTTGTTTGATATTTTGGACCTAAAGGCGGAACCGTGACTTACCCATAGAAATAGTGCATATTCACGACCAATGTTTCAGACAGCTTGAAGTCCGAAAGTTTGATTATTCGGCCAAAATCGTTGCGAGCAATCAGCGGAAAACACCATCGAGAAGCGGCCTTTTTGAATTCTATCTTGGCTGCAAATGGATGGGCTCGGTTTGGCAGCACTACTTGAGTACTCCCGAGTCCTACCACTAGGTGACGCTATGCTAGCCCTTTTTTTTCCATTTAGCTACACGTCATCATCATCATCATTATTATCATTTTGCTTTGTTTTTCCATTCCTTCGCGTCGCCAGTCGCCATTTTGCGCTCGTGGATTTGCGCTTCTTATCTCATTCGGACAGCGCTGGCTTGGACGTCATGGCCCCATCTGTTGTTCTGCCGCTGCGATGTGTCGTTAAGCGCAGAAAGTACTCGACCATAACGCTAGAAAAGAAGGCAGTGATTCTCAAGCTAACAGAAAGTTGCCGAATGCAAACGGAGGCATAACCTGAAACAAGGCACTATTTATGGCTTTTTTTTAAGGCCACTTGGAAGTAATAAAGGCAAGTTTTTCAATATGCCGATTTTTCGGACTGCTCTATTATTCGGACGTTTTTTCGGTCCCTGCGAAGTCCGAATAATCGGTCGGCGACTGTATTTACTGTACAAGATATTCCTATGAATAATTTTGATAGGACTGCCTGTGACTTTAATCTTAACAACAGGATCATTTGAAAAAAAAAAAAAAAAAATTAATGCTGACCCACCACCAGCTAAGCTGTTTTTGTAATCCATGTAGTAAGAAACACTGCATTGCATTTTCGCATTGCAAAAAAAAAAAAAAAGGAAATTTTAAAGCATAAGTACTGATCACACAAAATGAAAAAAATTAAAGTACTAAGTGATAAAAAATAATTCCCTAAACAAAGTCCATTTCACAAATTCTCCCATCCTTTTAGCTTTTTTTTTTTTTTTTTTTTTTTTTGTCACTGTTAGCTTGCAACAATCTGTTGTCACAACTGTTCAGATTTCGGCACCCCGAGATCACGCTATCATAAAGACTGAGATTGGATGCATCACAATAGGGCCGGAACCAGATATGAGTTACCCTTGGCAACTCTTTATTTCTATATTTTTCTACAAAATAAATGGGTGCAGTATGAAGAACTTTACACTTCCCTCCTGACAAACCCAAGACAGTCTTGCCTTTCTCATGATCACATTTCACTTCATGCAGCAATAATTAAACTACTACAAAAGCAGATGGTGAGAGTGAATTTGCAGCAAACACCTGTCAAGTTTCGGGAATGAAGAGCCACTCACTGCCTTTGTTGACCACTTCCGTGACCACTGTCTGCTGCTGGTCTTGGGGCACCTGTTGGATGATGGTCAGCTCCTGGCCATCAGCACCAGTTGCCGTCAAAACACTTCCGTTGCTGGTCATGTGTACAGCATCCTGCGGCGTAATTTGCCGTATTGCGTGCTGTTCCATGGTGACGCCATCTGCTGCCGGGATCTGGATCACTTCAAAGACTACCACCTGCATCAGAGATTGGAAGAGAGTCAGAGGCCACAACTCTCTCTCATAAACCCAGCACCTCAGTTCGGAGTCAATAGTGGCAAGAGCTTTGCTGAGCTGCGATGTCACAGCAAGCACACAAGCAGGTTTCAGCAATGCACACACTCCACAATAAAGGGTCACCACCAGTCATTTACAAAATTAGGCTCAAGGCATGCTATCAATCTGTCGCGGCTGGAGAAATGTTTAAAATGCAGGCAAGCTGGTGCATGTCAAATGAATGTCATGGGACAAACACCCCTTTTTGTCCCAGTTTGTCCAGTATGTTAGATCTTGGGTTCAACTATTTTACAATCAATTAAAGAAAAAAAAGGAAGCTGGACAAGATGTTGAGGCCACAGGAGAATCAATAAGAGTGAGCTTTAAACTGCATTAAAATTTATTCAGAGAGCTTAAGAAGTGAATCGAAAGTATCCTTCACCCTGCTTTGAATTTCACTTACTCCGTATTTATTCATTTTTTCTGCTTAGAGAGTGTCACAAACAGCTTGCACCTTAATAGTGTGCACTTCATAAACAAAACTACAGAAGAACAAAACAAAGACACCAACATAAAAAAAGGAGAAACTAAAATGGAAAACACATCTCAGACCCGTTATCAACGTGTTGACAAGCATTTTTAAGTAAAGAAGGAAGTAAACGAGTTCAGGACATTCTTGTCACGGTTAAAGGAAAATTGCATGCATGTCATAGGTGATCCAAAATTTACATTCATCGGGTAAAACAAAGAGAAAGCTCTATTAAGCCTTCTTGGAACACAAAAGGAAATGACACTAAGAAGCGATGCTGCATCAATTATGCCATTCACTACTTTATAGAAAAAACATGTCTCTCATCTGCCTCCTGTCGCACAAAGGTACAAGGCCAAACAAGTTAAGAAGCATTTCATGGTCAAAATAAATACGCCTCCCAAACCATCTACCGTAAATGATACACACCAGATGATGCTGTACTCTTTTTAAGATAAATGACTGGGCCACACCGACAAAATTCCACACGAATGAACTGAATTCCAGCTTAGATAAAACAATGGCTCGAAATAGATGAATCAAACGTGCATAAGAGCTAAAATGACATGTAACTTGAGAGATGATGCCCAGCACTAGTAAAGAATCACTGACAATTTTCTAAACATGTGCAGTAAACAAAAGGTGTAAATTGAACAGCACACTGAGGTCACGAATACTAGCCAGGCTCACAATTATCGAACAAAACAGAGAATAGGAATAAATGATGCAGCTTGTTTTGCATGTAAACGAAACATCTTTCTTTTTAAAAACGTTGAGCGGAAGATTACTTTTCGTGCACCAGTTTCGAACTGCATTAACGTCAGTTTGCAGCATGAGGCAGTCTGTGATTGAATTTATTTCACGATAAATCTTAATATCATCAGCAAACTGCAGTAGCTCTGAGTGCTTCACAGAACCTACTAAATCGTTAACGGAAACATTGGAAATAAGTGGCCCAAGATTGGACCCTTGTGGCACTCCCGAGTTCAAAACATAAGGTGATAAAAACAATCCCGCCATACCACACTTTCTTTAACCTTCCACCCAAAAATTTAAGGAAGATCCATTGGTGGACCCTTAGGGAATGCGTTAGCATGACCCTTGGGACACATGTCCCCTTTGGGAAGCACTAACACTGACCCCGTAACGAAGCCGAAAAGAGGCAGCAAAAAATAGAGGAAGCAAAAGAGAAAGCCAAAACAAAAAAAGTGGAGAGGTCAGCGTTAGCATTTCCCAAAAGGGGACGCGTGTGGCGTTCCCCAAGGGTCATGTTAACGCATTCTCCAAGGATACACCAATGGATCTTCCTTTAACCTTTGCAGCAAAATCAAGGAACACGCGCCCCGCACACCTGCAAGTTCAGACTCGCCCCAGCATCCGTGCATGCATCGGCTTACGCCCCGTGCCGTCGCCTCTCTCTTGTCTCGCCACACTGTGCAACGCATTGGCTTTCGCCTTGTGACATTGCCTCCCTTTCGCCTTTGTCCTTCACTACTCTCCTCCTCCCTACGCAGTGCGCTTCCCTTTCCACTGCTTTGTCCACAGACGGATGCCATCAGCTTTTCCCTGTTATGTGGGTATTAATGCTAACACATTAATAACTTGATAGCCAACTACACAATGGCCTAGTCACACCCAAAGCGAAAAGTTCTGCTATCAACAACTTATAGTTAACAAGATCCAAAGCTTTTATGCAATCAAATTAAATGGCATCAACCTTCCCCCGTGACGTGACCTTAGGCAACATATATATTCAAAAAAAGATGCAAGATTTGTTTCAACCGACCTACAAAAGCCATGTTGGTTGTGACAAAGAAAAGATTTGAAATTAAAATAAATGTGCTTATACATCGCCTTCTCAAATGTCTTCGAAAAAGAGCAGGGTAGTGAAATAGGATGGTAGTTATTGACGCAACTACTGCACTCTTCGACCCGCGGGGAAACGTGTTGCCTTCTAAATGATAGGTTAAAAATATGTAGCGACACAGGAGCAAAAATATCTTTACATCCCGTAAGAATAAAAGCTGGAATTATGTCATCACCGCATGACTTTTTCGGGGGAAGTTCATTAATTGTGAGGACTACATCCTCAAGATTAACTGCAGAATTTACAACACTTCACCCCAATTGAGGCGCCACTCCACTTCCTCTAGGAAGGCGCGAGGGCCGGTGCTGGCCAATCGCGACAGATAAGCAGCCTAGGCTGCCTATCCGTCGTCGCGATTGGCCAGCACCGGCTTTCACGCGCCTTCCTCGAGGAAGTAAAGGGGCACCTATATTGGAGTGAGATTTGTGAATTCGGCGGCAACCTTAAGGCTCGTTCACACACTTGTAACCAAGAACGACCGAGAGAGACAAGACCTGTTTTTAGGCTTCTTCCGACGTCTTAGGACCGAGTGCACTGCTGTGGAGCTGGTCCTAAGACGTCGTAAGAGCCTTAAAAACCGGGCTTGTCTCTCTCGGTCGTACTCGGTTGCAAACGTGTGAACGGCGCTTTAGGGACAGGTAAGCTGCAAGTAGAGTCCACTATAACATCAGTCGTAACTGAACACAGCATGATCAATTTACTCACGGAAGAAAAGAATGTTGTGAAACAATTGCAAACCTCAGATGGCTCATTTATATATCCAGCATCGTCTTGTAAAACTATAACATTAGAACAACTGGGACCTCGCGTAGTTCCACAAACCGCTTGGGTCATGTCTTAGATTACATTCAACTGAATTCCACCAAATTTCTTTATCCCGCTGGGTCAGCCTTTTAACCATTGTACAATGCTCTTTAAACAGGCCCCTCCATTTCTGAAGACCAGTGTGTTTGTAATTTTTGTGATACTTTGCTTTCTGATGCAATGCCTCATGTAGCTCTCTCGAAAACAAGTAAGGGAAAGTGCTAGAGAGACCATTCTTTCAAGGGATAAAATTAGTCATAGTTGAAATTACAATATTTGTGAGACGTGTGACGGTGTAATCGATATCTGAGCATAGTAGGACACACTCCCAGCTCACGTTGTGAATATGATTATAAAGATTAAAATAGTCTCCAAGGGTGTAGTTGTATCGCAAAGACTGACCACTTGCTGACGTCAGAACAGAGGATAAGTGGTGGATGCCATTTATCGACAGCAACAAAAGGATTTAGAACAGCTCCTAGTGTGATGGGTAAAATGTTTGTCATACGTAGGTCAAGCACATTTCCAGCTTCATTTGTTGTGGTATCCAGCTGATAAAGCACATTTAAACTAACAAACTCAATCATTTCTCAGGCTCTAGCATGGGCATCAGGTGATGCTGCGTTAATTGTGCTTGAATTCCAATCAGTACCAGGAAAGTTGAAGTCCCCGAGAATCAGCACATCATCTTTTGAAAAATCTATCTCCCTTGAAATAAAATGCAATGTGTCGTTGAATGCTTGTGCATCAGAACAAGGCAGAAAGTAATAATTTCCAACCAGCAAGTCTGGCTTTCCCAGAGGACTAATTTGCACCCATGCACACCTGAAAATGTGATTATCATCTCTGAAATATTTGTTGCTTGATATTAAAGCGTTAGCCAAGTTTCCATGATACAAGTAACTTAAAAATCAGCAATCGCAACAGCTTCAAAGAAAACTTTCGTCCGTAAGCCACATGCATTTTGGTAGTACAGTGGAATCTCGTTAATTTGAACCCAAAGGGGGACCAGAACTTTGTTTGAATACTATAAAGTTTGAATCACCGGAAGTTTCCTTCCTAGAAACACATAGGACAGGACCTGAGTGTTAGTTTGAAATATCTGCGAGTTTAAATTAAGAGACTTTGAATTATTGAGGTTCCACTATATATAAGGATGTTGTCCATTACAGGTCATTGACGGGTGTAGGTCGCTCAGTGGCAAGGTAACGCAAAAGCCCCCAAAAAGATTGAAAGGCAACCCTCTGGCCATACGCTGGGGTTGTTAATCTCCTCAATGTACTCAGTGGTTGTGTTCACATGAAAAGAACTGTCAAAATCATGCTTGCTGCATAGTTTGGGGCACTGAGAAGAACCAGTGTCAAGCACTAAGGACAGCAGGTTGTTTATGTCTTTGCAAGTCGTGTCCGGATTAAACCTGGTCATGAAAGGTGCTTGCTTTTAGGGCACTTTTTGTGATTTGCTTTGACCCTTCACCATGCTCAGTTTAAAAGAGTAAGCATGGTGGCAAAAGCCTTAGCTTGCACTCCCCTCGCCATCTCTTCACTGCTCTCCATCAATAACCCTCTGCCTGAGCTCTATCAAGACCACCGGCTTTAGGTATAACTGGCCAAAACTGTCGTCTCTATGAGTTTCGCAGTCTTTGGCGAAGGCAAAGACAAAGGGCCTCACCTGCTGACCCTCGTTGATCATTCCGTCTTCCATGCCGAGATCGTCCAGTTCGTCGTCTTCGTCTTCTTCCATCATGTAATCATCCTCCTCGCCGTCGGGCTCTTCGCCAGGACCCTTTGGCTCGCCAATGCGCATGGCTTCTGCCCTCTCAGCCGCCGTCGCTTCCGGATCGTGAATGGCCAAGTGACGAATCAAGTTTCCCTGCAGAAGAAATCAGTAGCACAATCACTGGGGGGTATAATGGCTCCTGTAAAGGCGAGACAGATTCATGACGTAGATATTAATCTAAAGCTGGCACACATCCTCGGAATCAGCACCATTCTGCCGAATTAGAAGTCTGCTTCATTGTTTGACCTTCACAGCACATCTCCCGCTTTAAATGCGTGTCCCTCTTTCAACATAACTAATCACAGACATGCTCTAAGAATTCCTCCCCAAAACTAGCCGATGCTAATCATACTGCAAAGACCGTGACTTGCCTTGTGACGGAACGCTTTGGAACACTCGGGGCATTCGTGGGTCTTCTCTTTGGGAATTGGTGGCACATAGTTGGGGTCGTGGTAGAGGTTCTTATGCCTCTTGAGGAGCTGCTTTTGCCGGAAGGCTTGGTCGCACTCGTCGCAGCGGAAGGGCTTCTGGTCCGTGTGGATCAGCATATGAGACTCCAGATGACGTTGCGAAATAGATGCGTATGGACACAAGTCACACTTGAAGCACTTCTCTCCCTCGTGACTCTTGACGTGCACCTGTGTAAAAAACGGGTTTCCAAACACATTAAGTTACAGGAGATGCACCCCCTGCTTCTATCGACACTTCCTCCGTGGAATGCAGTAAACAATACATACAACTATATGCCCGTGAACTAAGTGTTAATTTCAACTCAAATTCAATAACTGAATTTAAATTCAAATGCCAAAGAGGATCTCCCTACTTATTTCTATTCCAAGCAGGGCATCAACCTTCTGCACTTTGGAGGCAGGTATAGTCAGACCCATCCAATCGAACTGTACTTTGCCTGAAAACAGCTTGCCGTTTTCAGTCATGGTAAAGCAGCAAAAACCCATGGCAGACCTTGTAAGTGTAGCGGTCGGGGAAGGACTTCCCGCAGCGCTTGCACTTGAGCGGCTTGTCGCTCGTGTGCAGCTTCTGGACGTGGATGCGCAGGTCTGTCTTGCGGCCACACGTGGTGGGGCACAGCTCGCACTGGAAGATGGGCTTGTTGCCCGAGTGGATCAGCTTGTGCGCCTTGAGGCTGTTGGACTGGGTGAAGCGGGCGTGGCACACATCGCACTCGTATGGCTTCTCGCCCGTGTGGATGCGCAGGTGGCGCTTGAGCTTGTACGTGTCGGGCGAGGCGTACGTGCAGTGGGGACACTGGTAGGGGCGCTCCCCAGTGTGGCACCGCATGTGGCGCTTCAGCTTGCTCAGTTCCACCGAGGCGTAGTCGCACTCGGTGCATCGGTGCGGCTTCTCGTGCGTGTGTCGGTAGCGCACGTGCCGCACCAGCTCCCCCGACGTCGTGAAGGCAGCCTCACACTCCTTGCACTGGTGCGGCCGGGTGCCCGTGTGCGTGTTGACGTGGTTCTGCAGCGAAGCGAGCGTCTTGAAGCCACGCTCGCACACCGAGCACTTGTGCGGGCGCTCTTCCGAGTGGCTCTTCATGTGCCGCGAGAGGAGGTAGCGCTTGGGGCTCGTGTAGTTGCAGTAGTTGCACATGTGGGCCTGCGTTACTGTCTGGCTCTTCTTGGGCGTGATCTTGATGGTGCGCATCTTGGTCACGGGCACACCCACCTCCGCCACCGCCGCCTCTTCTGCTACCACCTCACCGCTGTGCTTCTCCCCTCCCTCGTTGAAGTCGTACACCGACATGTCGATGTCGCCACCTGCAGCACCCTTTGCGTCCTCTTTGCTGTCCTCTGGCTGAGACACTATGAGCACGTAGCTCACTTCCCCAGGGTTGGTGTCTGACGGCACTATCGTCACGGTCTGGTACGAGTTGCCGGTGTTCAGGATCACCTGCGGCGGAGAGCGTAGCCCTTGTCATTCCTTGTCCCTCTTTTCTGCAGGTTATGCCATTGTGTCAAGCCTGGTTGCTCCCTCACTTGCAAAGCTAAAGTATGCCATTTCTCATGACAGATTAAGTTTCTGTGGCAGAACTACACGTGTGAAGCAAAAAAAAACACTATTGGTCAGAATCATATAATAGCCTTCCAAGGTTTTGAGTACTTTTAAAAAAAAACTTTTTAATAGTTAAAACGATTTAGCACCGCAAGCTCAGCTTCACACATGCTCTACCACACACCTGCCATACGTGCCATAACAAGTAACCATATTCTCCTCCTAGGCGCAATCATCATCAGCAGTACTGGCTGATAAAGATAATGTCTGGGACTTGAACCATTCAGCATTAGTAAAATAAAAGTGGGAAGTCTTTAAAAAAAAAAAACACAAACCTAAACTTAAAAAAAAAAAAATTATAATTTTGATGTTTTTGATTTTAGAAACTAATTGTACACCCTTAAACAAAATTTCATAACCATGCGCCAAATAGTTACGTTGATATCAAATATTTTGAACACATTGTGAGGCTGTAACAAAGTAAAGGAGTTCAATGTATGAATGCACTTTTCTCAGTTCTGCTTTTTGCTGCAAATTTCATACGAAGGAAACTTTTGCTTGAAAGTAAAATTATTCCGGTACCACAATCGAGATGTTTCTGAACTAAAATTTACTGGAGAATCGGGCTATCTACTTTATTTTGTTTAAAGTTAAAGTCCTCATTGAGAAAACACCATGTTTTCAAAAAATGACACAGGACAGATATGCATCTCATATTTTGAGGTAATCACTCTTCCTGAAATATTTACATCTTATTTATAAAAACTAGATAGCCCGAAGTCCCACATCCCAACTTTATATTCAAGCAGTTAAAATGATGCTTAATAGGTTCATTTGCATATCATAGATTTCTTAACGAAGAGTGACACAACTTCTTATGCAGGTGTGTAAAGTTGTCCTAGAGAGCTGAAAGTTTGCACAGTGCACATCTGAACATCTGAAGTTAAATCTCCCCTGCAAATTTCATTCCGATCACATGAGTACTTCAGATGTTCAACCTCTAGCCAGTGTCCCCCTTAAAAGAAAGAGCACAATGGAGTGTGGAAGTTTTTCGACCGTTCCAACCCTGGTTCATCCAAGTGCCTCGTGTGTGCTGCCATCCCCAAGACATAAACTTACACATTGCTTTAGTTTTTATCCTTATGCAATTGCACCACTCAATTCTACCGTAATATCCCATAATATCCCACCTAAAATCGAAAGCAAGTTGGGTGAAAATAGAGGTAAAAAAAATGCCAGATTTAGATTTTGTGACCTGCGACAGCTGTGATCTAAAGGCCCGTTCACACACTTGTGACCTCTTAGAACCAAGTGCCTTAATACTTCATAAATCTCTTACAAAAAGAGAACACACTGGCACACTGGCGGCCTCCATGCAGTGACCCTGGAAGTGCATTTCATTGGAAGCAGCTTTTGCGGTATTTGCGAGGTCAAATGTATGTACTACCTATGAGAAACAACCACTTACAACATGGAAAAAGGCTTTTCAAGCCAAAAAAGAAAGAAGGATGTGTAAAAAATATGAAATATACAGGACCGCCAAGTGTTCCACTGCTCCCTCATAGGTGACGCCAGTGTGTTCTCTTTTATACAGGGACCTTACTCTTGTCGTAAGAGATTTTAACAGGTTTCAAGGCACACGGTTCTAAGAAGCCACAAGTGTGTGAACGAGCCTTAAAGGGATACTTCAACAATTTTTCGGCGCTCATTTCCTGGTCTTTTTGTGTTCAAGGGAGCAGTATCACATCAGACACACCAATATCTTGTTGAAAAGACACGAAAAGGAATTTCAAAAAGAATTAAACGATTAGCAAAGAGCACCTGGTAGTTGTCGCTAGCGCATTGTTTGTAATGCCTGCCTAGGAACCTTGAAAGTAGTGACGATAACTGTCTCGCCTCCGGTCACCATGAGAGAAGAGGGGAAGGAGGAACTCCCTTCGCTTCGAGAATATCTTTTATGCGTCCCAGAAGTCGTTATTGTCCCCCTACAAGATTATAGAAGATTAACCTGTCACTCAAAATTCGTACAAAAGCAGTCGCTTCGGTGGCTGGAACGACTAGGACATTCTCTCGACGTCAGCCTCGCCACAGCTTTGCTCGTCCCGAGATGAATTACGTCACGATTGCAATGGATGTCATGTGCTCTCTGAGCACTTGCCAGAGTAGGCCATTTATAACGAAAAATACAGCCATCAGGCCGAAAATACAAACGCGCGTTCATGATTCACGGATATTGTGGATCATATTCAATCCATTTCTGAACACGACGGGTATATTTCAAATTTAGCTGACGTATCCCTTTAAAAAAGGGGCCATGAAACAGACTACTGTCCTTCCCTGTCAGCAATGTTCACTTGTCCCCCACCGTGGCTAAGTAACACCATTTCTGCCGAGGTCACCCTTGGCCAGGGCCTTGCAGTTACTAGAAGTGGGCTATCTTTCGGTGGTTTTGAGGAAAAAAAATAGCACATCATGTTAAAAATAGGGGTTGATTATCTTTTGGGGGGTGGGGCATCTCTTAGAACATTATGGTAGTTATGTTCACCTAGCTTTGGTTCTTACAACACATTCTAGGATATTCTGTGGACAACAAACTGCCTTCTTCTATACAGCATACCCTTCTTTATAAAGAGTCTACCCAATACTTTAAAATGATTGATTTGTATTTCATTTAGTTTCAGAAATCACTGTAAACATCTAGTACTATATATTACACCCCCTCTTGCCAGGGGTTCCCAAGCTTTTCAATCTCAAAAAGTACCTCTCAGTCTCGAGATTAACGCATTACAGCAGTTACGAGGTCTGTAGCCTTGTAGGCAATAATGCACATATACGTGTCTGGCGCATACCCTATTTATTCGAATATAGGTTGACCTTTTTATGAACAGACCTGTGTGTCTACTTTCCCACAGGACGCCCGAAGACCACTCGTTAAGACTAACAAGACTAACGGAAGGAGCCGGCAAATGGCAAAGCAGAGAAAACGTTTGGAATAAAAAAGACGTAAACCACACAGATCTCATTTCAGCGTTCTGACGTTATCGGTGCCTCGTCATTCGTTGGGCCCTTTTCCGTAAATCACCATGATTGGCTCTTCGCGAGCATTGTAGTGCGGAAGTGCGGAAGAGTGCGGAAGAGTCGTAGTCTGGTCGCAGACAAAGTGAGAACGACAGGGAGCAGTTTCAGTTGTCCCGCGTCCAGCGTGAACTTCCTAGTTTCAATGACGTCCAAGCATCTCATGCACCTCGCGCGTGCATGCGCAGTCAAAGCATGCCAGAAGGCATCGATTGCGTGTTGGAGGCTGGGCTTTCAAAACAAATACTTTACCGTTCTCATGTGTTTGCAGTAAAATGCGCACCTAAAGATTTTTTTTTGGGCTGACGTGCAATGCTGATTTACAATCATGTAAATACTCGGAACCCAGCTCGAGACTATTTGAAATGTGTTTAACTGTGTGTGTGTGTGTATACGGAAAGTTTCACCAACAACTGAGAATCCTTGGAATAAAGAAAGGATTCCTTCGAGGTAATGTTATCGACCGTGATGGACATCATGGCAGCAATCTAACCACCTAAAATACAGTACTGAACTTTTCAAATATTCCATTATCTTAACATGCCTACCACAAACTATGAAAGGCTGCCATTGCAATGACCTTACCTGTTGCTCATCGTTTCCATCATGGGAGGGGCCCGGCTGCATTGCCACAAAAGTGGGCTGCTCAGCAACTTGTGAGCCCTCTGCTGATGATCTGTTCTGCTGCTGAACTGCTTTCAGCAGCTCCTCTGTACTTTCATGCCGAACCTGCACACAGGCAAGTTACAATTAGGTCACAGACTTTCCAGTTCTTTAAAAAAAAACAAAAAAAAAACACCAATAACCATTCGCTAGTGTCCAAACTAAAATTGCTTAAAACCGAAAAACCCCAATTTCCGCAAGTTTCCAATCCAAGCGAGAACTTTTCTTTGTCAAAACCCTTCTTTTTAGATGTTCATCTTAACTAGAATCAAGCACCTTGCTAGTCCCGAATCAGAGGAATCAGTGACCTTGGAAGACAGTGGCATGAGAGTTAAAGTGGTAGCGATGCTTTAAAAAGAAACATTGACAACGAATTTACATAAAGACAACTTCATTACATTTATATTGCACTGCACATGCTAGCGAGATACAGCTGGGCCTCGCTATCATTGAAGCTGTCTGTTCCGACGGCAAAAACTCCTTGTTTAAGTGCAGGAGGGGGCATACTTTGCATTTTCCGGGAGACTTTTTTGACAATCATACAACCATACAAACTGGTCAAAATTCGGGAGTTTCCTGCGTAATACGGGACACTTGGCAGGTATAGCGAAGGTTGGCGTGAGCGGCGCTAGTGCCACGGTACTCTGCAGCCATAAAACTAAAGCATGTGGCAGACATGCTAATTAAGTGACCTTATCAGAAGTACAAGACCCTGGTTGTGTTTTATCACAGTAGCCGCAATCGGCAATCCTACTATTTTGCGAAAATTTCTCAGGACCCTTAGTTCCTGACATTGAATGGAAATTTAGACGATGTCAGCGATCAACCAGCCAGCGCATCAACTGGGCAGAGCGGTTAATGCCGAGCATCAACGGCTCTCACCGGTTGATTTGCAGCATCAAAGTGCGGCATCATGGCATTCAACATCTCCTTCTACGTGTTCTTTCGTCGGCTAAACCAATCAAGTGCAGCGAATGTCCCGTGACTTGCACTTTTAGTATGTCTGTTTATGGTTGTATGTGTTTGAGTCTTCGACTGTGCTCTGACCTAAGATGAAACAAACTATACAATGAGTAGAGACACCGGGGAATTCATATTTGCACAATTTTTCTTTCCTGCTACTTGTCTGAATATTAGAGCTGACTAAAAATAAAACATTACTTTTTTTGCTTTAAGCCTATCTTGGCACAGGTGTGTCGCAATTCTTAGCAAAAATGGCATTTTGGAGCAAGATGTAGCAGACTTTCGTTCATGGCACAATTTGGTGCAAAGTCTGCATGAAACAAAGCACCAATTGACCTTTGCAGAGAGGTCAAGTTAAGAAGCACACAGGATGCGCCTCGTCCAACCCACCTGGTCCGCTATAGAGTCTGGAATCGTAACTGCAATCTCGCGTCCTTCCGAGCCTTGGCCCTTGCCCACAGCCAGGACAATCTGCTGTAGGCCTTCCCCTGCACTGGTCGTGGCCGGAAATGCCTTGCCGTCGGCCGTAGTCGCGTAGCCTTGGATGGTTTCCAGCTGACCTGAGGCTGCCACGGTGGTGGCACCCTCAGACTGTTGCTCGCCCTCCGTGGTGTAGAAGGTGGCTTGGGCCGGGGCGTAGTATGTCGTCGTGCCATCAAACTGAGACTGCAAGTGCAAGTAGAGTTGGGAGCAAAAACAAACTGCCGTAAAACTGGTATCAAGTGCTAAAAATGGGCAGGCAGAAGGAGAGAGGTTACTGTAGATTTCTAAGGGTTTCTAGTTTTCAATGGTGAAAAGTGAGAGTGATCCAGAAAAACATACCTGAACATTATGAAACAAACTATAAGTAGTGTTCCAAGTCAAAATATTAGGGAGCTAGTTTTAGAAGAGCATACGGGAAAGCTTTTCGCATAGCGTTGTCGCCACTGCACATGTACCGAATGCTAACCGAGTTTCATGGCTCGCGGGCACCATTCTAGCATACATTATTTCTCGCAAATTGCGTGCATACACAAAGTATTTGCGCTTCTCCATGGAGGATTCGTAATGCACGAGAAGTTGGCCAAAGTCAAGAAGAGCACAGTTAGAAAATGGCGGCTCCCAGGATCCCGGCTGCGATTTTCAATGCAGTGCGACGTTGCACTCCTACGGGAAAGGCGTCACAAATGGCTTCAAAGACCCAGCAAAGTGGACAACGATCGGCGGCAACTTACTGCAGTGATGGAAGCGGCATTTGACCTTCTGTAGCAGGTTCTGTAGCAGGCAAACTATCGGTTTGGAGCAGCCACGGAAGCTTTTGGAGCAGATGCCGACATCTGTTAGCACATCACTTGAAAATGAAAAAGTGATTGCATCGCTAAATGAGTTTATCTTTGATAATGATTGAGGGTTCCTCTTTGATACTGGAGCATGTTACCTATTAACTATTGTAATGATAGATAGGGCACAAATAGAACACAGAGCCTTCTTTTTAAAAAAACAAGGCTCTGGTGAGAGTAGGTTCTATTAAGGGGGGACATGGGTCTTTGGAGCCCAAAACGTCCTAAAACTGCATTCTTCTGAAAATGGCAATGGCTGTTGTTGTTCTGAATTTACCAGGCTTCTAATTCCATGCATGAATACTTGGGCTATAAATCAATTAATAATGTCTATGCAGGCTGAATGTGTGTTGAAGTTGACTCTAAAACATTGTTTTCAGAAGATACAATTTTTGGACTCGTTGAAAATTTGCAGGAGGGATATCTCAGCATCCAGAGCAAATAGAAATATAACCTTTCTTGAAATGTGTAGCTAAATGTGTGAAGCATACAATGTTAAACTTGAGGAACATTCTTCCTCAAGTTTAATTATTTATACCAATATGAGTCTAGAAGATTTTATATTTGATCTTTTGTTTTATTACTTGTTAGCCATGCATTGAGCACTGAACTTCATTGTGTGGTAAAATCACTAATAGTGGGTTTATCTTAAAAGTACTTCCCACAATGTATGCTCTACACTTTGTAGTATCTAGCCATGTGTTAAAAAGCATATTTTGTAGAGCAGTTTTTTCCTATCAATCCTCCAAAAAAAATGCAGGTCAGTTTTAATTACCTTGAGGACTATTCTACTGACAGAAAACGACCAGATATATGAAATCAGCATAAAAAGCTGAACAAGCTTGTGCAGTTTCAATGGGTTTGGTCATAGAATAAGAAAAAAAAAGCTCCAAGACTGGTGTTCCCCCTTAACAAGGGGTACTTTCACTTTCACACCGGGTAGTTTATTTAGCATGTAAATATAATGTCGGTAAAATGCCACGAAGAACTAGCATATCCGCTAACATGCCTATCAATAGAAATGCTTCCCCCAAGTTTTATGAACCTACCAAACTCAATACTCAAATTTCATAAACTGCAAAAACCACCACACACAAATATTATGAAAACCTACACTTGTACTTACACTTTAACAGTGACACTGCTCTTTAGCGGTATTCGAACGAGACAGAAGTCAAAGTTTGCTTACTGCTCTTTTGATCGACTGCTGCACGGGAACTACCTTGACTACCGTATTTATTCTAATATTTATCTATTCGCATTCTTTTTCTTGGCGCAGCTTTTTAAGATCAGATATCCACCTAGAATCAAGACCAAAGAATGTAGAGCTGCAATAGTCTTGAGCACAATTTCCGCACCCATTGCAGTAACCCAGGTGCTCACGCATGTCAGCTGCTGCTTCTAACACCCCGAGGCCCAGTACGGGAGGCCCAGTACGAGGAGGTATGCGGTACCGAGAGGCCCAGTGCGGGGAGGTATGCGGCAAACATGCCTCCCCAAGAGATCTCATCAGGAATACAAGGCTCTGGTTCTGTCTTATCACAACAACTGGCATCCTACTATTTTTCAATGCTTTCTCATAACTGTTAGCTTCTGACATTACCGACATTATCTGGAAATTTAGACAATGTCGGCGATCAACCCCACGCTGCAACGGACGCAGTCATGCCAGCGCATCAACCGTATAGCGCGGTTGACGGGCAATCTCTATACTTCGTTTCACCTTAATTTGAAAGGCAGCCATTGCATGAGCCAATGAGACCATCCAAAGAGCATCAAAGCATGACATCATGGCATTCGTCCATCTTCATGTCAGTGTTTTTTCACCAACTAAACCAACTAAGTGCAGCGAATGTCCGTGACTTGCGCTCTTAGTATGTCTGTTCGTGGTTGTATGTGTTGGAGCCTTCGACTGTACTCGAACCTCAATTAAACAAACTATACCTTGACTAGAGACGTTGTGAAATACATATTTGTACTATTTTCCTTTCCTCTTAGTTCTTTGAATATTTAAAGGGTGCTGAAAATTTTGAGCTCATGAAGCAAGGCTGAAGCAATATATGAAATGCTGTGAAACCCAAAAACATCACTCATACAGCAATATCTCCAATGGTTGGTTGTATTTTTGGAAAAAAAAAGTGTGTGACTGAACACATCCAACGAGGCATGTCACGTCACAATTCTCATTCTCTCTCCTCTTTGCTTTATCCCCTCAAACAGGTGAACTGAAGCAAGGAGAGAAGCTGAGAGAAGTGAGGCCACTTCCCCTCATTCTCAACTGTTCCAATGTGAAGTCGCAATTTGCAACTTCATATTCCTCGCTTAATCGCGCCCTTCTTTTAAAAAAAATAGGCCATCCGTTTGAGATATCAAGTGAGTGATGTTTTGGAGTTCGTAGCGTCCAGTTCCAACACTTCCGCGGCCTTATTTTGCGAAATCCAAATTTCGGTTCAGCATCCCTTTAAAGTCAACGATCAATGAAATATTTTTACTTTTTGCTTTGCTTAAAGGGAAGCTCAGGAGGTTCCTGGAAAAATAAAAAATAAAAACGAGGTAAAGGTGAATTTTAGAGTATTTTTATCCTGTGAATCTGAATATCACGTTCGTTTTCCCCAAAGATGTAACTAAATGCGAGAAAACACGAAACACCTCTGACCAGTTATGGCGTCATTCTAGGATCTTTGGGCCGCCAAGCGCGTGTCACTCGTGTGGTCAGCATGTGCAACTGGAAGCTAGACAGGTATATTCCCCCGCACTGACACCAGTCGTGACATCTTTTTGACCTTTTTGAAAATATCAAAAGTGTGCGTGCATAGCTTTGATAGGCGCTGAAGATGCGCGAGAGCATAGATTCCAAGAACTCCTTCTATGATGTAATGCTCCGGGAAGGAGGGATTTGAGCGGTACTTTGAAACTCTTTTCTGCAGCCCCTGTGAACCAAATTGAAAAATAATCTCGATATTCGTGATCCTGGAGGCCAAATGAAGACGATTTAAGTGTTTTTACTTAAATACAAAACCGCTTCAGCTTCCCTTTAAGCCCATCTTGGTGCAGCTGTGTCACAATTCTTAGCAAAAAAATGGCTCTTTGGTGCAAGATGTAGCAGACTTTCATTCATGGTGCAATTAGGCACAAATGGCACAGCACTCCGATCACTGTTTCTGCTTGCAACGCAAAAAAGTTTCTCTGAGAAGGCAGGGTGTGCGAAGGTCAGCACACAAACCCTCTCTTGCCGAGGCGATGCTAGAAGACATGACTGGTTGACCGCTTGCATCGTATTCTCATATTTAAACAAATCTAAAATGTTACTCTGGACCAAAAGCTTTCTTTTTTCTAAAGTTTCACATTTCGTAAGTGAAATAAAAATTGTTACTGTATCTTGGTGGCATTACAAGCGTGAGATGCTTGTGTTTTGCATCGCAGCGGAGAAACGCTATTCTAGAACTCTCCTGCATAGCGAGTGCTAACGCAAGAGCTAAATTTAGCACTAATAAGCACTAAAATTGTGTATGTCATTCTAAAACTTTCTAATTATAAAAAGGCCTCTATAAACGAAACACCAACAAGTCCGGAGGTACCTCAGTCATCTACCTTACAAGTTGTGGGCAGTCCTAACAAAAGCACACAACCACAAAACAAAGCATTCTGCAGAGCTATGAATGGGCATGCCTCTGCACCCTTATTTTTTCTTGTTGGCGGTCGCTTCCGCCAGAAGGAAATCAACTGTGCAGAACTTGTGAGCTGGAGTATCGGCCTCGAGTGAGCAATACCGGCACAAGCTACTGTTTATCCGCTGGTCTCTATGGGCCATGGCACTTCTCTTATTCTCTTATGCTCCCAATCAAGGTGAAGAAAAGGAACCAATATTTAGAACACAAAAAAGGCTAGGAGCCTAAGCTCTTAGCTTTGGAAACTGCTTCCAGTGCATGAGCTAACTCACAGGATAAACACTTTCTAGAGTTTTTGTATCATGCCGGTAGCATTCACTGTGCTCCAAGTTAAGGTAAATTGAAGATAGTCCCATTTACCTCTTCACTGCAGTATGCGTAGCAATTGAATTAGCAACCAATAGGTACTGAGAACATTTATATGTCTTTGTTGTGCATAATTTTTTTTTTCTTACCTAACGGAAAAATGGAATATTAGAGATAGTATAGTAAGAAAGAGTACAAGGTAAGAGAACACATTAGAAGGACACTGCATCAAACTAGCAAGTTATGTGACATCGCAGCACATTGCGTAAACAAGCACAAGGTCAGTCAAGGAGTCCCGTTGACAATATTGCACACACCTGGCTGGATGTGGCATACTGGAAGCCATCGGCCGTCTGGGTCACATAGAAAGTGGTGGTGCCATCAGCAGTGGAGGCTGTCGCCTCTCCCTCGCTGCCCTCTGCTTCGGTGGCTGCTATAGATGCCTCGTTGGCTGGTGCTGTGGCTGCATTGGCCCCATCCCCCTGGATTTCCTTGTTGAAAGAGGCCAAGTAGTTCTGGATGTCCGAGATGGCTTCAGAGTCCCCCTCCGCTGCTGGTTCAACTTCAGTGGGAGTCTCCTCCTCTTGCACTTCAGTCTCCTGATCTGCCATGCCCACGCAGGCACTTCAGCACCGTCTCTATACGATAAAAGGCCCTTAGGGTGCCAAACCTGTAAAGACAACAAGAGAGAAATCTTAGACCAGGCCTTTTTGATTCGTGCTCTAGTGAGTACACACTAGCAGGTTAAAGGGACACAAACACCCCCCAAACATGTTTTGTTTTTTGTCAAGCAATTTAATATGGTGTCAGGAGACTACCCAATCAATATTTTGCTACGAAGTCCCACACATTTCTAATAAAGCAAAAAAAAAATAGAAAAAAACTCAACAGCTCGAAACCGAAACACGAACGCTCATGGCTAGAAGTCACGTGGCTACACCCGACGGAGTTTTCTTCCTTCTCTACTTCTGCGGCGTGCGAAGCAGACGACAAAGTAGCATGCACCGTTTGTCGTGCGATTGTTTCGCACTTTTACCTCTTTCACTCTATGTTCTGCGCTGGAAGTTTGATTGGCCGGTACCACAAACAGTTCCGAAGTAGCAGCACCACATCCATTGCAACGTGGGTCCGTCGTATGCTGCCATCGTGCCATCCAGGCCGCGGTACGTCACTATATTGAGAATGACGCGTACATGCACTTCCTGTGATCTGTGCAACCTTTTTTTCTTCGATATTTGCAGTTTTTTAGAGGACACAAAAATGGGGTTTGTATTATATTCGATTTTTAATATTGAATCTGTGCCTTGATGATCCACGAGTTTGAATATATTTGGTACACATAGTTTGGCACATGACCATGGAAAAGAGAGCGAGCGGGACTGAAACCAGCCAATTCTCGACCAACTGCGAATTGTGTTTGGGGTGGTTGGGCTCATAGGTCATGTTCAAATAAAAACCTCTGTAAGCCTAAATACCCTGTCAGTGTCCCTTTAAAGCAAAGAAGCATTAAATGGCACCACATATACCTGGCACCCTGCAGTTTTTTGGGGAACAGAAGAAACTTTTCGCTAACTCCTGTCTCTACAGCTTCCTTTATACAAAACTTTAGTTCGCTCTAAAATGGAATATGCAGCCTCTATCTGGGACCCCGGTATCACCCTTGCATCTGCTGTTGAGGCCACCCAGAACCACTCCACACGTTTCATTCTTTCAAACTATCATCGCACAGCCAGCATCAGATCTATGAAAGCATCTCTCTCTTACCGAAACTTTCTTTTCATAAAAATTTATCTCGTTTATGTCTTTTTCACAAGATTTATCTTTCATCTCACACTTCGTGAAACATTGTTTAGAGACAGTGATTAAAGTCAGGGGGGTCTCGGGGGATCTCAGACCCCCAACGGATTTCGACGGGGGCTCTGAAACCCCTTTGGGGAGTAGATCCAAACGTTGCGCCCATAGTGGCGAAGTTGAGAACTAAACCCATTGGCTACAACATGAATTATTTGGCATGTGTGTCTGACGCAGCATTCGGCTGTGTCAGCCAAATGCTGACACAGCCGAGCGCTGTGACAGCGTTTGGTTTCCTGGGCATGTTAATAGTTTGAAGGCAAGCTGCTTGTCCAAATTCCTCCCACTAACCCCCCTCCTCCCCCTCCCCTTCCCTGAGGTAACCACAAGAGAGACCCGCTGCCAACGGTGGGAGACTTTAAGCACTGTTTACAGAACCATCTTACATATCACAAAGAAATCACCAGTTCAAGGTAGGCATCCCCCATTGTAACACCTCCTCATTGAATGCCTCTTTTCTTCCCCAAAGCTTAATAGATTGGAATCTCCTTCCCGCACCCAAGCTGCCAATTTGAAAATTGCGATTGCTAATTTTTTGTTATTCCTCAGTCACTGTTCATATTTTTGCCTTGTTTGTTGATATACTCATATTTTTGTGTTGAAACTCAATCCTCTCTGTAATGCCCTCAGGTCCCAAGAGAAAATAAACAAAATGAAACATGCACTAGATAAACTAAGACAAGTTGTAGCTGTGTGATGTGGGTTATAGCTGTGCAATGTTAAAGACCACAACTTGAGAGGGCACACTTTTCTTTGTTCTCAAACCTATTACACCAAGAAATTGCACAATCTTTGAAGTTCAAAATATTTTGCATCAGCAGATTCAACAGATTTCAAGCCTGCGAAGTTCAAAAGTCCAACAAACTTTAAATCCCATGTGCACTCCGTCCAGCCCTAATCTGGCACTGCAGTGGGGTTACACGCTTGCCGGAACAACCAACCCCCTCTCTTTTATCACCTGACCTCGGCATCGGGTGGAAACGTGATATGTGGTGAAGGACCTACAATTTATCCAACGAGCATGTGGCTCCCACCGCACTGTCAGCTTATGGCTACAGAGTGTAAGAGCCCGAGGCGATCCAAAAATTTCAACAGCATGAACTATTGCACAAATGCCCACCATTTTACCAATTGAACACCACTGAGCAAAACAATGTTCACTCTTCTGTATTAAAAGCATGGCGTTCTGAATGCAGGTGTCCATTTCTGCTGTTTCCTTTAGTCTGGTGAGCCACACTTGCAATAACAGCCTATGAGGGACCTCACTTCTATACCCGTTTTCACATCAAGAAAAAAGCAAGTTTTGCACAATGTTCATACGCGGCGTGAAGTAGTTCTTACAGATTTGGTTATCGAAAGAGAAAGCGATGCTTTGGCATTTGGAAAGTGTATGTGTTGATAAGATAACATATATACAACCTAAAATTCTCCTGCATACATCTTAATTATCCCCATAAAGAGGGGAATTAGTAATTCTCCGCGAAGGGCCGGACTTGTTTACCACAGTTCTTGAGGATAAAACGCGTATAGTCTGATTGCCTTGGGATGACTGTGCTCCTTCTTATTCCCTTTTTTCAGCAGTTGGTTCCACCAGAAGGAAATCCTGACAGCACCATTAAACACTTGCAGAAGGCACCAATGATAACAGATGGACATTTTTTGGCTGTATTCCAGCACCGTGTTTTGGCAGCAAAATTTGAAAGTTTTAACATTCCTAAAAAAACATTGGGTGGTTTGTTATATCTCTACATAAAACCAAAATGAAACAAGAGGGATGCAGCACTCTACCTTGAAAGAAATGAGCTCTTTTAAGACAACAAATACCTGGCTTGCACATGACGTCATTTCCGATGACCAGAGAAAAGGGGAAGAAGGAGCTCCCCTCTTATCAGGAGCCTCCCAGATTTGCACAGGCTTCGCTATTCTCCTCCCAGAAGATTGTAGAAGATTAACCTGTCACTCAAAATTCTTACAAAAGCAGCTTCCCTCTCCTTTTATATGGTGTTCAAAAGTATGTGATGTGACGTCAGCGCAAGGAGCCTATACAATCATTGAAGGACCATTGCAGTGGTTGACCAAAGAGCGCGGATAAACTCAAGCAATGGGGCGGTCATAAAATAATCACAGCATTGAGCAAGGTTTAACAGTTAGGAAAAACATGACACCAACCCTTTCTCCAAAATGCTTGGACAACTCAAGAAACACATACTTCCACCCAAGCTGGTGTTCTAGATCCACTGCACAAGTAGTCGAGATGAACTGCTCCATTTTCCACACAAATGAAAAAGTGGCAATGGCTTGCTTGTGCTACTAGTATCATTCTACATAGTTTTGCCATGCTGCCAAATGCATATATACTTGACTAAAATGACACCTTGCTCTTCTAAGCAGGTACCCACACAGCTACTTTGGAAACATCACATGTTGAAGGCATACCTATACTTCGTTTCAGCTTCGGTCCAGACGCAAGCGATGCTACAAGCGCGAGCACGTGGCCCAGAACAGTGCTTGCACTGCACGAGTGCGCGTGCTTGGCAGGGATGCTGAAAGCCCGGAGCTCGCGCTTGTAGCTTTGGCTGCGTCTGGACCGAAGCTGAAACGAAGTATAGTATTTACCATTGCTGAAGCGCTAAGGAACATTGCACAAAGTAGCAGGTACAATCCCGTGATGATTTACTTGGTTCATGCAGTCACCTCACTTACTGGTTTACAATACTATAATATTCACAAAAGATCTTGCAGGGATCATAAGTCATAAAGAGCAAAGTGTACAGGAAAAGAAAACTGCTCAGACATTTTAAGTGCTTTGAACATTTTTTTTTTTTTTTCTCACGAATACACAAAGTGCAGCCCCTCGAATTGAAACAAAACACTTTTATTAATTTGAGCAGTACTTATATTTCTTTGGAAATGCACATACTGTAGAATGCCAAGCAAGCACCCACCAAAAGTTCCGAGGCATTATGAAAAACTGGGGGGGCGGGCATCTGTTACGTCCAAGAGCAAAAATCCAGAAGGGGTGCACGACAGGGTAGGCTTCACCACTTTGCACCAGAGCGCTTGGAGAAGTGGCCGACAAGGAGCAACATTTCGGTTAGTTAGGCGGGCTCAAAAGCCTGAGGTGGGCGCTTGGTACGTCCTTAGCCTAGTTTTCAAAAGTTTCATAAATAGCGGGTAGGTATTTACTGACACAAGTGCATACTTGGTATTTTACACTAGCAAAGCCTCTTGAATAGGAGATCAATTGAAAACTTCCAGACGCTCCGAAATTGTCAAGAAATGGAAAGCGTAACAATTTTGATGCGATGCTCTATTCAGGTGCACCCGACTAAGTAAAACTCTTTTTGTAAAATTGCAGACACCTACAAACCACCGCTCAATCCTACACAGCCCACATTGCTATGTTTTATAGAAAGTATCACAAGAGACATTTACAAAGTACTTGTAGTTGAGCTCAGTTTTGACATGTCCAGAACTTCATAACTTGATGCACCATACTGAAGTAAAAACTATAATATATTCTCACCAAAAGCCCCTTAATACGCATAAAGTAGAGAGATGTGTGCCAATGCATGAGGTGCATGCCCTAGGCCTTGGGAAGAATGTGGGGGAGCAACACCGAACTGAGCTTTCAAAGCAGCTTTTTGTCCTCCTCCGGACTCGCACATAGCAGATGTTGTGCGCAATCACACAATCAATGGCAGTATTTTCACTCCAACATTTCTACATTTACCTATGCACGCATCCCCCTGGTATTGCCTTTGATTCTAAAAATGCCACTTCAGCCAGAACTGGCAGCCCAAGGCGGATTAAAGAAAGGACATCAGTAGGATTTAGACTCCCGCGTCACATGTGTCACAAAGCTGGGTGACGTGGTACCACAGAAGACATTGAAAATATTGATTCGGACGCTAAAGGAGGTACAATTCGAACCTCACATGCAAACATCAGATAGAACGGACTGCACGTAGGCTTCGGCCCAATCAGCTCTTGCAACGATCCCGCACAAGCGCCACCGACAGTCATTTGACGTCAGCAGTTCCAAACTAACGACAGACCGTTCGAAACAGCAGGAACAAAGACCAACATTTTGCCGCGCACGCCGACGGCCAACCCATCCAGTACGCAGCAAAGCGCGGGCACGCACCCCATTACCCAATCACGAGAAAGTGGTACGAGGGTGGAGGTGGGGGAAAACACGACACACTCATGATCAAAACACTCCTCGACTTGCAGGCAACTTCGCCTCGAAGCGATTTGTGTGCCCTTTGCTCATTCTGCAGACGCTAACTGCCCTTTTGCGCATGTCAAATATGATCTCCCGGAAGTGAGGCGCAATTATCCCATGCAGAGAAGGCAAAAAGACGCGATTCACGCGGGATGGAGGGGGGGGAGGGGGGAGACAAAAAAAATTAGAAGCCGGCAGGCTGCCACGACCAGATAAAAACAATCGCTGTTCTAGCCTAGGCACAGTTATAAAGACACGACAAAAGCGCGCACCAATGGAGGGAAGCGCGACATGGAAACCCGCCGGCGCGCCGAGCCAGACGACGGACACAGCACTTGGCCGACCTTGGTGGCAACAGAATACGCGCTGGGAAGCCATATTTGAACCGACGCAAACATGGCTTCATGGCGACTCCCTCCCTGGTCGACATGGCACAAGCGTGCCATATGTAGACTCCGAGAAAACCTGCGAAATTAGCCGCGAACGAGACGCGTGAAAGGTCGCCCAGGGATGGAAGGAGCTCGCGACATGAAGACCCTAGTGATAAACTAGGGAACCAAGATGTCCTAAGCGCCATCTGCATGCCCGATGAGCGCCACCAGTGGGGAAAAGGAACGAGCTGCTTCGACAGAGTCGCCGGACAGTCCGCTGCGTTCGAACGAGCTGCCCATTCTACTAAGGAGCAAACGCCAAGCGTTCTACGTACCTCGTTAGTGATTCCTCACGCGCGTACCCGCAAGCCCGACAGCAATGAAACCCGTCCTGCGCGACTCGACCGCAGGAACCGTTTTATTGGTCGGAGCATTTAGGCTTACCGCACGCGCCGACCTTTCTCAACTATTCTCTCTAGCTCGCGGTCGCGATACCCTGGAGAAGCGTTGCTCCCGTTTGTGAATAACCGTAGTCCCTTCGCCGCTAACGATAAGCTGACCAAGTCGCGTAATTTGCGAGTTTTTGAAAAAATAAAACACGAAAACTTACTGGGAAATATCATTGTCCAACACTGGAGGGCGTTGCTACAAGTTTTCCAATAATGGCGGTATGGCCAGTATGGCGGTCGGGTTCTCTCCGAAAAGTGCTTGTGCGCATGCGTGGTGACGTCAACATCCGGGCTCTTGCGCCAAAGAGACCGAAAAGGCGCGGGTTTTTGAACTCGTCAGTGACGCGGAGGCCGAAGCGAAAATATTTAGATAATGTAGGACGCAGCGCATTTTTCAACCCCATAACTGCGAACAACAACTGATAAAGTGGGCTTTCGGATAACGAAGAAATGACTAGCTGCTGGAATGTGTGCTCTTCTGCAAAACGATAACTTAAACAAGCATAATTCCAAAAATAAATGTACAGACAAAAAATGAAAGAAAAGTCGGCCAAAATACACAAAATATTTAGACACTTGTCATGTTTGTTTATATTATATCATTTTATAAAGATGTCGAACATAAGCTATCATTTCCGAATTCCGATAAAATAAAAAAAATTAAAAAAATGCCGGGCGATTTTTGTCAGAGAGAGAGCGAGAGGAGACAAAAGCGCGTATTTCGTTTCCCTTTAAACCTATGCTTTAAATACGTGCAGCCAGTCATGAGGAGGAACGGCGATCACATGCGCACTTTAGAACATACACAAAAGTAGCAATAGAGCCACGCAAATAAATCTCGAACAATTTTGCTGTTACCTCTATTGCAATGATTGCAATATTTTCGTGACTGGTTGCCAGCTGTTCCAGACAATGAGAATTTAACGTGCACATCGCCAAATTAATTTTGACGTAATTAAACCTTAATTGGCTGAACATAGTAAAAAAAACACCCCGAGATTAGCAAAACGAAAGGACGGACAAGCGCAGGTCTCTGACCATCCTTTTTTCCCGCAACCTTTCTTTTTTTTTCTTTTTTTTCCAGTGTCGGGTTGGTTTTACTGCGCTTAACTACCGCCAGCTCGTTTGCGCCCTAACCTTCTTTTCATTAATAAGCTCTCTTGAACCGTATACACTAGCGTTTGTACGGTTTGAAAGCTAAAATAAACAGTGATATCACTCTTTTATTTCCTAGTAAGTTTATTATAGGGTTATTCACGCAATAGCACTTTCTAACCGTCATACGCTTCCCTTCACCTGAGACATTAAAAATTACTGACTTCAATAAAGTGAACCGAAGTGAACCAAAGACATTAACAATGAAGCCGCTAAACCAGTCTCTGCATGGATTTGAACCAAAATAGTGGCAACATGTGTCTTTTGCTTCGTCCATGCATCTCTTATTATTTCGTCATTTCGTTCTAAACCAGTTAAATTAACGAACGCCTTTTGCCAAATTACCCGAACACCGCACGTGCTGTGCTGCATGCGCTCGACCAGAAGCCAAACTCTAAAATGACTAAGTTAAACATAAAGCGTTGACTAGTGCCTTTGCAGAGTGCCATTTATTATTATTATTATTTTTTTCTCTACAAAAATTACTGCTGCAGACGCCAGCATGTGCGACGCGTGTAACCACCACACACGACGCAGTATGATCGGTATGATCCACTCTCTGGTCTTCGGTTTTCCTTGGCATACTTTCGTTATCATATGTGCGCCAAGAGGGCGCCACTGGACAAAATAAAGAAAAATAAGAAAAACGACGCACGACGCTGTCGACGCTGTGGTCACAGCAGGATTGTTGCAATCATTTGGTGTAATTAAAGTCACGTTTCGTAAGGTAACTGGTAACAAAAATGGGTAGCAAAAAACACAAGAAGCATCACAAGTCCGAAAAGAAAGAACCCAAGGAAGACGGTACGTGCGTAATCCTCAGCACGATTATTCTTCGAGCAGTCCCGTGAATGGTCTTTGTGAAATCGCTTGGATCGTTTTGGTTTTCGAAGCAGCCACATTTCCCGGAACCTTGCTTCCCGTTGAAAACTTAAAAGGAGAGAAATGCCCGGGAAGTTGCTTACTTTAACTAGTTGTTTGCTGTTCGAGTCCGGTGTGTCGCGCGCTCAGACACCCGCGGTCCGCGGATTTGTATCTGGAACAGCGCCTAGGCCTAGATGCGAGCCTTCGAGGATTCGCGAGTGAAAGTTGAACTCAGTCGGCCCGAAATCGTGATTCATGCCTCACCCGGCGAGCGTACTTCAACGTGAGCGCTCTACACGTGCAGACCTGACGGACCGCACTTTTCACTTCACGCAACCCGGTCGATATTGCAGGACGTTAGTTCTGCCCGTTGGAGCGCTTGTCACCGCCGTTCCGAACTAACCAAATCCCATTGATTTCTACACCTCTTCATAGTCTGTTTGATATTTGTACGAGTGTTTCGAGAGTGGCGTCAATTTAGGTATTCGAGTTCCTGCCTTGTCTGGGGTGTTCGACGCTTTTTTAATAGCTCGTTTCGAATCCGAACCATCGTGAGAAAGACGGGCATAACCACTGATTCAGTGGGCATAACGATGTCTAAAATAATGTTATGAAACACAAATATGACTGGGAAGTTACCCCGATATTCGTTTGGAAAGGGTGTGAACTAGCATGGGTTTAGTAGGGGCTGTTACACCAAGGCCCCTAAGCTCTTCTTACCGTCCATTATTTTTCTTCTGCGTTTTGATAATAAACAGGTTGGGGGTATGTTTCTAGATTTTCTTTTTGCGTTATTTCTCAGAACAAGTGGTCACAAAGAACTACAATTTTATGTGTGAATAATTGTAGATCCGCTGAAGGAATGCCTTATGAATAGAGTGACAAGTTACTTTTAGAGGTTGTGCCAGATCATATTTGGCAACCCACAAGGTTAAGAGTTTTCCCCTGCTTTGGTTTTTCACAGTTTATGAAACAGTTTATGTCCTTATTGTGATGTAAACATCAAATTCTTTGCAGGTTATCGTTTATTTTATAAGTAGTATTCACTGGCATACGTAGTTGAGTATATTGCTGCTGAGCGTGAGCTTACGACGAGCTTCCACAACATGCACTCCCTACCACCAAGATTGGAGTTGTTCTCAGAAGAGAAATGGGAGCACCCTCTGAGCATGCACTGTGAACAATATGCTCAAATATGGTACTTAGTGAATACCACCTACAGCATTCATGACAACTTACACGATGAGCTAAAATTACATATGCGTCTGTCGAAGTTGCGTGGTTAGTTCGTGACTTGACAAATAAATTTTAACTTCTTAGACTATTTCCACACTAGTTCCCATGTCAATAGCTAAGTTGCTCACGTAAAAAAAAACAAAGACATATGGGCCTGTGCTGGATACACTAACGTAATTGAAACACCTACATCACCCATAATATACATATTTTAGAGATATTTCAAAGAAAGGTGCTATGGCTCACTGACATCATTAGTGAATCAGACAAATCTCAGTGCCCTTTCTCCTTGTTTAGGAATTGATAGATTGCAAAACCCTGTACCAGTTGTTTTCTGGCAATCTCAACATTTGCTCGTTCTTGTAGGGTAATCTCAACATTAGCCCAGGTTGCTTATTTTTCTTCTCAACTAGAGCAAACACTGGACCTCCATGTTTGCAAACAATATTATTCATATTTAGAGTAATTGGAACTGCTTTGAAAATTCTTTGTATTTTCCGATGGTTCAGTCCGATCCACTCAAGTTTCCTGAACAGTGGGTTGTCACATGGTTCATCTGTTCCCTTTCCAAACCTTTGTCCTGTTTTCCATACTAACCTTGTGCTATAATGTCTACTGAGTTGACTGACCTCTCTCCAATTGTACCCCCTTTAAGAGTGACAATGCTGAGAAATAAATCAAACGAGAAGATCCTTTTTGAGTTCCAGTAATCGAGAACAACCTCCGCTTTTCAACAGATAAGCGTCCCCAACCAATGTTGAAATGTTCTTAAGGCCGTTGTGTGGACTTCATACTTATTCTTGCATACCTAACTGCTACTGAAAGTTTTATTGCTATTCTATTTATGGAAATGACTGTCAAATGTAAATTTGCTCAACAATCTATGCCTCTACTGAAACATTTGTTTTTATTTTCTTTTGTGAACAAGATGGCTGATGTTGATAAGCACACCATCCCATAAATGCCTTTTGCTACTGTCCTTATAATTTTGATACCTTTTATTGGTTTTTATGTTGACGTGTGTAGAAAATGAGGGTGTTTTTTTTAAAGCATTAATAATGTTCCAATTAGGTTAAAAGTTTGCTGAATAGTGCAACAGAATCTTGTTATTTCTCTCAAACAAGATTAGTTGACTCACAGCTCCAGACAAACTGATCAGTGGACTAAATAATCGATGAAGCTAATCTGGTCTGACATGCTTCGTAATACTGGGATTGGAATTTAGTTTCATGATAGCTTATGTGAACTAAGGTGGTAAAAATGTAGATCATGCTTATCTAGTTGATTTTGTTTTTCTTTGAGCTTCCTTTGCAATCTAATTGACCATGATGTAATTCTTTGTCTGTATTGTGAAAAGTACTGATACTGGTAAAAAATATAATTTCAGAAAGAAGCCTACTATATGATAGTCAGTGTTAGGAAGTACTTTAAGTACATCATACTTAAAGTCCCACTTCAAGTAGGTTTAGGAAACTTGTACTTTACTTAAAGTACATTCTCTGAGTATGTACTTGTACAGGGTGTCACAAAAGAAAATTTACACGGTCTTTTTTACCGCAAAAATAAACTAGGCATCGACAAACGCTCATTCTCCGCCCAAAGGTAGAGCTAGAGGTCACAACCAGATGCCAAAGTTTCAGCCCGATCCGATAACGTGATCAAAAGTTATATAAGTGATTTTCTGAAAAGTTCAATGGGAAAATGGAGCTCATTTTTGCCTGTTTTCGGTTTTTGGTGCCATAGATCCCCTTGTGTTTGAAAACTCCATCGGCCGCCATTTTCCCATTGAAATTTTCAGAAAATCACTTATAACTTTTGATTAAGTTATCGGATCGGGCTGAAACTTTGGCATCTGGTTGTGACCTCTAGCGCTACCTTTGGGCGGAGAATGAGCGTTCGGCGATGCCTACTTTATTTTTGCGGTAAAAAAGACAGTGTAACTTTTTTTAAAGCACGTTTTTCTAGTACTTTCCGAGGAAAGTACAATTTCCGACCACAAAGTACATTCCACAAATTTGGTTTTGTTAAATTTGTGTCACGAAAGGATGCTTTGTCAACTCCGGAGAAGTACTGGGAGAGATATTCTACTCTTACCAGAAACGTGAGCAGACGACGCATCGCTCCGCTTGTTCTGGGGGCGGCTTTCCAGTGGCTTTTTGAATTCTCACTACTTTTCAGCCGGTCGCGAGGAGGCTTAAAATAATATGAGAGCAAAATTAATCATAATCTAGCACCTGGAACTGTTGTGCGGAACAATTAAACATTCAAGTCAAAGAAAAAGACAACAGAGGGTAACGTCACTGTTTTAAGACAATCTCTTTTGTCTTTTCCTTCGACTTGAAAGTTCCTTAATTTTTTCGCACCACAATCTCGGGTGTCACATTATGATTAATTAGCACCAGCTTGCTTTCACACTCACTATTTTTTGTTTTGTTTTTATTAAATGTCGGACATTCCTCTATGAGAGGATTGCTTGTGGAAGCTACGGGGCTGACGTCATGCTCTCTCCTAGTACATTTAACCCCCTTGGGTGCAACAATTCAGTGCTAGCGGCGCCAAATTCAGAAGAGGGACTTCTCAATTTAGCTCTATTCATAAAAATAACTACTCTATGGTCACTTCACTTTATCAAATATTCACCGCTGTTTTTGGAAATAGGTCACACACCCCTGATTACCCCTGGGCAATGCATACCAGGTAAAAATCACTATATAGGGGAATTAAAGGACATCATGAAAGATTGTGTTAAAATACTTGTACTTTACTTCTTAAAGTACATTGTATTTATAGTACTTCACTTCAAGTACATTGCACCCAGTGTACTTACTACTTTACTTAAAATACATCACGTCTCGTTTACTTTGTACTTTACTTGAAGTACCTTATAGATGTACTTTACCCAACACTGACGATAGTATGTAGGTACTTACTGAGATAAGCCTTTCCCTGTAAAGTATTGATATTAAGTACAGTTGCAGTGCTCAAAATTGGCCAGATGAGCCGGGTGGTCACAGCAATTGTGTTCTTGGCTTATTCAGATCGGCAAGAAAAGTCCCTGAAGCTAGTGCTGAAAGTAGGTGGTAGTGCGGGCGGAGTCCAAACGCCTGTTCCATCACCTGTTGTGGCTGCATCTTCGTCACCGTCGGCTGCCATGTCTCCTCATGTCGGAGGGAACCACCATGGAGAGGCGTCGTCTTCGTTTCGGGTGGAGGGTGGCGTTGTTTGTCATGCCCACGAAAGTAGCAAGCACAAGAAGTCTAAAAAGAAAAAGAAGAAGAAATCAAGCAGCAAGGAGCACCGAGAAAAAAAGCACCGACATCATCATCGCCATCGCCACCATCGTCATCATCACCATCACAAGGACCCTGAGAAGAAGGTGAGTTTATGGTCAGTTGTTTTTTGAGAATTGCTTTTTCGTTTGGTGCCAGTGGCCATTAACGTATAAGTAGGCAAGGTAAGAAGAGAAAGCTGAAGGCACTCTACAGGAGCGTGAATTGTGTGTTTTATGGCAAATTCCACTGGGCGTTTAAGAGCGCGCCGGGATCAGTTGACCAGATCCGGACTGGAGCACACGATCCGAACGGGGTCGCACCGCCTACGGATCCCCAGTGGAACATGACCACTGCTCCGGCATCGGCGGATGCCTTCCCGTCATTCAACTGCACGGGAATCCCCTTTCCGCAGCCGCCGCGGTCGTTTCAAAGACGTTTTCGCAATCGCGGCGCTAACGCGTGTTCGACGCACGAGCGGCAGGAATGGCTCAGGCGCTTCTAGCAAAGATTGCCAAAATGCCCATAGCGCGGCAAATACGTTCTCTTCTCCTTCCTGGAAAACAAACCGGCTGTCGAGCCAAGGGGTAAGCAAGCGGCCATTACGAATTCTTCTGATGTCGAGACAATCTAGGAGCCCAGCCCGCGACTTGCTTCTTCTTCTTCTGAGGCGAGATGGGCGAGATCAGGCGAGATGCCCCACGAGAAAGGAAGTCACGTGTGTGCGCCGAGGGCTGGCCTGGCCGGCTTCCGGTTGAGTCCCCCCAAATCGTCGGAGCGACTTTTCTCGGATCCAGATCGAGATCTGGAGCGGGAGCTAACTTAAAACGACCAGTGAAACACATCGGTCTCGATCCCGATCGCCCAGTGAAATAGGCTCGCTCCAGAAAAGTCGATCCCGGCGCGCTACAAAACGACCAGTGGAATTCGCAATTAGTAATTCCACAAGCTATAGGAAATATTCACTGGCGGCCATAGCTGTGTGCACGACAGCTGAGTGTGTGCTGACAGTGAGCTTCCACAGTTCTTTCGCAATGTGCATTCCACATACGATGATGAAAGTGGCCCCCTATTGGGAGTATTCACTGGCGCCCATAGCCGAGTCCGTGGATGCTAAGCACGTGCTGACAGCAAGCTTTCAGAGTCTTTTTGTAATGTGCATTCCATACCATCAAGATTACTGGTCTTAGCAGCCTATGAATGGTGAGCTGGTTCTGAGCACGGGCAGCCAACAGTGCACTCAAATATGGCGTTTGACGAATACCCCCTAAAAGCAAGAAATTGTTTCGAGGGTTTTCTTCAACAGACAGTTAGTCATTAAGTCAATTAGCTTTCTAGTGGGCCTACAGTCCTCCCTTGACCATACCCTTTTACCATGTACTTGAAGCCTATGGGTCTTGAGCAAGTGATGTGCCGCTTTCTGAAATCAGGCTTTATGTTTGCTTTAAACCACATTATATTCCATCCTCTTGATAGTCCTTCAGCTTGTCTGTACTCTGCACTTCTTGTTTGAACACTGGGTATACTGGGAAGGAACAGACTAATTGTCTTGAAATGATCTGTTCTTCCATGCATTGGAGAGCTCTACACTCTAATGAAAGTTGTTAAAGGAGCTGTGCAACGATTTTAACGTTGAAAGAATTGGCATTTTCTGCTTTTGATATTGTTCACTGTGTCACAAATGGCAGAAAACACACCTCCTTTCATCGAAATGTTGCGATTCCGCCACGTAATAGCGAGGCAAAACTTAGAATATTTCCCGACCTGCAGCCACGAGCGGCGGCCATGAGAAACAAGCGGCGTGACGTCACTTGGGTAGTTGTAAAAAAGATAGCAAGTTGTGCGAATACCTGCTCGATAAAAGGTAACTTTTCTATAAATCTTGTCGTTCCAACATATATATAAATGCGTCAAAACCCTGGTATCATTGACAAAAACCTTTATTATACGGAGTTTTAGTGACGCCATCTATCCTAGGTCCACAAAACCGCGAATAGCCGCCAGAAGCCGGAGGGGGAGGGGGACAGCGCCGGACGGGTATGGTAGGACCCGGATGAGACTTTCCTCCTTTCACCGTATATTTCACGGGGCGCCCGCCAGCACGTGGTTGCGCGGTCGCGAGCGGATGAGTTCTCGCTGCTCGCTGATGGCTCTAAAGAGAGAACTTTTCCGGAACCCCACGCCTACTCAAGTGACGTCACTGCGCACATGACCCGGAAGATGATGTACGAGTTGAGAGGCGGCAAAAACCTGGATCTCTTTCATTTTTTAAAAATAAAAACTAGGGTATCCAGGCAAAATCTGTTTTCTGTAGTTCACTGCAGAAGTGTCAGGCATCAACTTCCACAATTATTTAAGCAAAGCCCTGAAATTGTTGCACAGCTCCTTTAAATTTCTGTGTATGACTTTAGTACTTTTAATTTCTACTAGTGACAAGTAATTTTGTATGTTGATACAGTAAAACATAGCCTGATATCGCTTACTTGATGTGTTGGAAGGAGGTATTGTCTTCCTTTTTATTTTCTGCTTTGTGGTGGGCAGCAGTAATTCTGCCGCCTACCAGTCGGGCTGACCGCCTACCTGTGATGACCCTCACACCTTTGTATTTTGTTTCATCTGGACTGGACAACACCGATTCTGGAAACAGCTTGTTGGACTCGCTTAGCATGCATAGGTTCAAATTCCTACAATAGACATTGCTGCCATGCAAACATAGTGCACATAAAAAAGTCCAGAAATATTCACGGGGGAGAAAAGAATGTTTTGCCCCCTGCTTGTTGTTTGATGTCCAGTCTGGAAAAGTTTTTGGGAGACACTGCTTACAGTGTTAATGTCCAACTGCTTTCCATACCATTGCATGCAATATATCAGTGGTTCTCAGCCATGGATGTGTCGGGGACCCCTTGCGGACCGCTGGGGGAGGAGGAGGAGGAGGAGGAGGAGGAGGAGGAGGAGGAGGAGGAGGAGGAGGAGGAGGAGAGGGGAGGAGGGAGAGGAAGGAGGAGGAGGGGAAGGGAGGGGGGAGGGAGGGACGTTAGTAAGTTAACACATCTGGAGCATGAAACAGGCGCCTTTTGTTGCTACGTAGCAGAAAAACATAAAACAAAGGTGCCACATCACTTCATTTTGGTCAGTTCATCAAAACGTGCCAACTAAAAAAAAAAAAAAAAATTTTGTTGAGGGTCTTGCGGACCCCCATTTGAGAACCACTGCAATATATGATGGGATGGTTGGTAAAGGGGGACGGTAGACCATTTGCAAAACTTAGAAGTGTGCGTTTTGGGCACTGCAGTGCATGATAAGAAAGTGCTGTGTAGCTAGAGCCACGTGGAGCATGGGGCTTGGTATTGGCTCTGGCCATCTTCTCTCTGATGAGTGAGATGGAAATTGGATTTTTAAAGCACCTGAATATACAGGACTTGTGGGATTTTCTGAGATTTGTTTTACAATGGTGAATTGGGGGTGCTCTAGCAACACTTTTGACTCTCTCTTTGCTGCAGGAGAAACGCAAATGTGAACATGACTGCTCTCTGAGTGAAGACCGATTGGCCATGCCATCGACTCAGACGGCATTAGAGCCTCCTCCTGCCAAGAGACCCCGTCACGAGTTGTCACCTCAGGAAGGTCCATTTTCACCTTTTCAAGCCCCGACTGAGCGCCCATCTCGAGACCCGCGGACCTGTACCCTCAAGAAGGTCTCGGAGAAAAGCCCCCTCCAAATGCTGCTCTACCACCTGCTCGATAATCTGCAAAAGTATGTTGTAGTTGGTCTCATTTGAATGCCAGGCTAGGTGCTATACTTGTTTTGCTCCATATGAGCTACTATCCCTTATTCTTCACAGGCGAGATCCTAAAGAATTCTTCACTTGGCCCGTAAGTGACGTGCTTGCTCCAGGCTACTCCAACATCATACACAGTCCCATGGACTTCAGTACTATGCGGAAAAAAATTGACGATGGAGACTACTCGTGCGTTTCCGAGTTTCGGGTAGGTTGACCCCCATTCACTCGACCTTTGTGCCTCCATAGTTCTTTTTTAGAGCGCAGCTCTTAGGCGCCCGTTTCTGGCTTGAGCGGCGTCGCCGTCGGCGTAACCGAGGTCACTCCAAGGTCACGTGACCCCATTCCAAGGTCACGTGACCCCTCACAAGGTTACCTCAAGGTCACATCACCCCCAAGGTGACCCCCACATGACCCTCCTAAGTCACCCAAAGGTCACGTGACCCCCCTCCCCCCGAAGTCACGTGACACCCCTCCTCCGAGGTCACGTGACCCCTTCCCCCCGAGGTCAGGTGACCCCCCCCCCCCCCCCCCCCCCCGAGCATATTAAAGAATGAGGGGAGGAGGAGGAGAAGGGGTCTACCCTTTCCTCAGTACCCTTCCCTCCTCCTCCTCAAGAGCTGCGCTCCAATTCGACGTTACAGGGAGTTGTAAACGGCTTTCACTTTTTTTTCTTTGGAAGTTTAGGGGAAGTGGAATTCTTTAGCCACCCTATTTGTGTCTCTTGAAGGTAGCAAACACAATGGTTTGGTACCTAAAAAGAAAGTTGTGTTCTTTTGTTTGATTTATTAGCTTGTGTTTTGAAGCTTTCACCTTTCACATGAAAGGCCTCGTCCAGGGGAACTATCAAAGCTAATGCAGCTACCTCTTCAGCAGGAGAATCGGAGACTTAAGGCACTTGTAGAGCAGATCCTTAAAAGGTGTTTAAATTTATGCCCTTTATTAATATAATGCAGTCCTGCAGGTCTGTAGCAATTGCTAAACAGAATGGATAACAAGTGATAAGGCCTTGGTGGAATGTGGTGAGCTAAAGCAGTCTTGGGAAAATAGGTGGTTTAGCATAATAAAATAACATTTACGATCTTTGGACCCTAGCAGCAGTCTGATAAAACAAAAGCCTCACTTGCTTGCATTCCTGACTGAACAAAAATGATTTCAGGGAGAGGCATGTGTCAGATGTGATAATATAAAATGTTACATTTTTGTTTGCTACGTCACTCAGTGGCGTCGGAACTATTTTTTTTTTTATTGGGAGAGCGAAAAATATGCAATCGTCATAGTCATCATCATCATAAGGAGTTAAGGCGCATTCACACCAATCATGTAAGCAGTTGCATGATGCGACTAGATCGCATCACAAAAAATTTGATGGTCACACTGGCTTGCGTGATGAGTGAGTCCAACGCCTTTGTTGGCGAGTCGTGTTTCCACAACTCTCACTCCGAATGCCGTTGATTGTCTCAGCCGCTCCGCGACTATATCACATTGCTAAAAGTCGTGCCAGCAGGTGACTGCTCAAATTGCATCGCTTTTTGCCCGCGATGGTCACTTTTGCAATGAAAGTTATCACGTGACTAAATCGCATCGCCGGTGTGAACGCACCTTTCTACAAGGGGGAGTGGTACAGTTACGCGTTACAAATATATATATACCGTAATATCCCGAGTCATCGCCCATCCCCGAGCCATCGCCCACCCCATTTTTTGGGCCAATATCGATTTCCGAAAAAACACCGAGTCATCGCCCACCCCTTCAAATACCCCAGCGCGGACTCTGGGATCCGCGAACACTCATCCTACCCGAATGACGCGGCCGCGAACCTTACAGTTGGAGGACGTCCGTGACAAAGTAAAACGAAGGAGGGAAAGACACTTCTTTTTGTTTACGCATTTCCTCCGTGAGCGACCCCAAAGTGGTCGTGTATCCGTGCGAAAAGAAAACGATGGAGATAACAAAATAAGAGTTTGTTAAGGTAACCGCGGAGTGTTAGGTCAAAGTCTGTCTTTGCCGAAGTAAGGTCACCGCGAACCCGCTCCTTCTTCCCGCCCGTCGCGACCGCTGTTGTGCAATATTTTAGGCAAAGCCAAAGCGTAAATAGAGCTTTGCTGGAACGTCCTACACAGACGTTTGCAGAGCGTCCCAACCGTGCATTGATAGCCCGCCGTGCACGGACGCACGTATGTACCCACCAAACAAGAAAGTTGCGCAAGAGCTTGCAATTGACAAGGCGCCCGACTTGGCCCGACGCCAAAGTATCTGCCAACGCGACGGCCGGCTTTCCCGCTTTCCCGGCATTGCTCTTGGTCGCTTCTTTGGTTCGCTCGCTCGCTCGCTCGTTGTGCCTGGTCGGTTTCTCTATTTTCTTGTAGACTTTTCTTTCTTTCTTTTTTTTTTTACTAACTAGGAGAACATAATGGTGACATTCTTTCACGGAACAAACGTTCGTGCTATATGCAGATCGGGGGTGTTTCTAGCGCGTATGCAAGCAACGGACTTGGCTATAGTAAAATATTCTTTCGTGAGCATTTCTTTTCTATAAAACAATGAAACTAAATCGAGTTTTGAGTTTGATGTATCTCTTGTGCATCAGCGCTAGATACGCAGAGAAAAATAGGCGGTTTTTTCTGTTTTTTTTTAAGTGTTTGTGCTCACCCACCGAGACATGGCCCACCCCACTTTTTTAACGAATTTCAGGCGGTTGGGGGGTGGGCGATGACTCGGGATATTACGGTATATATATATATATAGGTGATTTCATCTCAAATTGGGCAGGCCTAATTTTTATTTTTTTGCGAGAAATCGGGCAGTGCCTAATTTGTATTCTTTGTGAGAAAAATGTAATTCCTGGGGGAATTATAAATAGGTGTTATAAATTAAGTAAATTGACAAGAGCAGTGGATGTAAGCTTGTGAAGAACATTAACGAGTTCGGCGGGATTGTTTTTAAGAAGCTTATTGATCATTCATGTGCCCATTTTTCTTATGAAGTTCTACACGTACAAAATGTAATTGATGTTCATAATCAAATGACAAGTGCTTTGTTCTTTTATCTGAATTATAAATTTCAATTTATTACAACCTCTAGAACTTCAAGGAATCAATTTGGGTGCTCAATATTATTGTATCAAAATATTATTTCAGTGGGATTCATTACCTAAAATAACCATTCAGAGCAGTTTGTGCTGTCCTTCATCAGTCATCATCTTGTTACCCTGTCGGGTGCTTCTCCACGCAACTAAACCCTACTTTTGTGTTTGAGGGAATCGCTCCTGCTGTGAAATTGATGCTAACAAAGGGTTACACGTAAATGAGGAGGCAAAGTAGGCATTGCCTATTTAGTTGGTCAGGTCGACATATTAATCTTAATATAATATTTGCAGTGGTATCAATGAAAATAAAATGTGCTTTCATGCTCCAAAACTTTTTTGCTGCTTCAAAATTGACTTTTGGCTGCTCCAAAATGACTCGGCAAATCACATCGCTGTGCTCTCGTCCGTGCAGTCGTCATTCCTCTTCTGGACTCCGATCAACTTCCCACTAATTTTGAACCTTGCCTATTTGTTGTTCAGTGTCTCATTTTTAAAGGGGTTATGACATGCCAAAATTAAAAAACTGAGATGACTATATTTTTAAGACCTATTGTAGGTTCCTATAATCCTGCTAAATTTGTTTTGAAAATGGCACAATAGTTTCATGGATAAATCAATTTATATGCGGGTACCTCGGAGGGGCGGATCCGGGCAGAGCGGGAGGCTGGCTCCGTAGCCAGCCTCCCGCGCGGTGTCCCTTTGCACGCACTAACAGACTTAGCTCTCTTGGTGTCTCAAGCTTCAGCTTCCTCGTTTACCTTCTGCGTTTCGGGCATGCGGTCCGTGACGATTACGTCTACGGCATTGCTCGCCTTGTCAAAGGGTTCGACATTGATTGCAGCAGCGATGAGAGTGATTGCTATAAAAAGATGTTGGAAGCTGTTCGTTTTGACTCTGACCCGCTGGCGATCAGCTCCAGCGACGGCGAGTTACGGACAAACTCGCCGTGGTCGTCGTTCCGTCCCCCCCCCCGCCCTCCGCCCTAAGTGTTTAAACATGCACAATTCAAGAGGTGGGTCAGGACTTCTGGGCCCCGCCCCCTCTGAATCGGCCACTACCACACGTGCACTTGTTTTGCCTTCCAAGAGGACTTTGATGACGTTGAACGCAAGAGGGGACTGGTTTACTTCTATCTAGATGCGTTTAAGAGAAAAGAATAGGGTTACGTATATCTTTCACGAGCCTAGCATCGTCGTCTTCTATGGCTACGAATGCACTAATGACTGCGGTCGAAGGGTTTGTTTGCACACAGCATTAGTTCCCGAGGTGGCCGCTATTGAGCGCCACTCCTCGATCTCCTGCCCAATAGAGAATTTACATCAGTGAGGCATTAAACCTATTTAGTCAATTTCCATCTTTTTGTGTGCATATTTCTTTCTTTATTGGTGCCAGGGCACACCTTAGCATATTTGTGGGGCATCCTTTATTTCTAACATAGGATTTTGTTATGGATGTCGTGAATTCCTGCTGCATTGGAGGTAGAGGTCAGTATGAAGGAAGAGTAGCCCTTTGCAGATCAGACATCATTTGTAGGGCTGCTGACCTAAAAACAAGCATGAGCAGTCATTGTTCTTACTTTCCAGGATGACCTAAAGCTGATGTGTGATAATGCCATGACCTACAATAGATCAGACACTGTGTACTACAAGTCAGCCAAGCGTATGTGGCACTCTGGAAACAAGCTAATGTCCAAGGTAACTTTCTTTTTTCCCTTTTTTTCGGATATAACCCCAGTGATCCTAAATTTGTCTTTGTAACAAACCTTGCATAAAATGTAGGCAAGAGTTTATTTAGTTTATTTATGGAGTATTCCCTCAAGGCCCAAAAGCATTACAGAGGGGTGGAAAGCAGGAAAATAATTGGGACAGTAACAAAATACAATTTACAAATCAGGCTCAATGATTGAGAATATAATTGATGTGAACATTAGTGAATTGTTTCTTTTTAATAATTTTTACCTTTTAGGAACAGCTTTTGGGGCTGGAGTCTTCACTGTCTTTCTTTCCGGAGCTGACGTCAGAAGATCTTGGTTTTGACATCAGGGGTGTCATGTCGGCATCCCCAGAGACAAAACCAGCTACAGATACGACAGACCATCCATTGCCTGCAGAAGTACCGTCCATCGGCAGTCCCGAAGCGGCTAAGAAGTGTAAGAGTGGACCGTAAGTTTTCTTTTGACTTCATAGCTTTTTGTTTAATTTATGTGCCCTGTCTAGAAAATATATATTTTTGCTCACAGTACTTTCTAGCGCTGCTACTTTTCTATGATGTTCATTCCTTACTACAAACAAATTTGTGTAATAGAAAAAAATTTTGTTTTAATAAGACAACTTTTTGAGCCTAAACTTTATTCTTGGTGTTTCCTTGTATAGCTGTGTGATCAGGGTTTGGTCAGTGTAACTCAAGGAAATGCCTACATCACAAAATCTTTGCTTTTGCTGGCCAGGCTACTTGCTTCCACCTGTCAAGCACTAGTGCTGCATTTTGGGTAAAACAGGTGTTGGTTATGTATGTCATTGTGGATTTTCTGAGCATAAATGCATAAGCTGTAGTTCAATTAATTGTTCATTAAGGAATGAATAAATGAGCTAACTACTGTGCTAGCCACTGAAATAAGAATGTAGATGACTTGCACAAATACACTGAAGTTCTCACATGTACTCTCGGAACCTACTCTGCTACGGAATGGTCCTGATGAACCTTGTCCGTGCTTTTCTTTCAAAGGGAAGAAGGATCGTTGGAGGATCAGGCATCCAATGAGATCCTAATTCAAGCTCAGAAAGCTGCCCAGGCTGCAGCTGGAAAACTCACGCTTAAGAGACCCAACAGCAAGGTTAGTACCACTGTCTCCGTCAGCTTCTGTGCCCTGACGTGTTTTTTGTTGGTCACATGCTACCATACTTTTTGCAGCTGAATTTAGAAGTAGCACTCTACACAAGGGGCAACTCTTGTGCAAAATGACAAAAAAACACCATAATGCTTCGCTAAATGAAAAACTCGAATAGTGAAAAAATATGGTGGCAACCACACTTGTCTCTAACGCGGGAGCGTGCAGCTTTCTCCAAAGAGCATTGACCTGTGGCATTCGCGGCAACTAATCTAGTCGCGTGGGAGCGACACGCCGCAGCCCACTTGAGGGGTGTTGCGCTGGCTCCGTCGGGCATCGCCGAAAGCAGGAGGTTGTTACAACGTGTACGCTTCTCGGCCTGCTTAAATCCACATATCGGCTCTGTGTTATCTGCACATATCAGCAGCTCGCTTTTCCCGGCATTCTTTTTTAATCAATTTCTTGATGATGATGTCGTTGATAAGCCCTCATGCTTTATTTTTGTTTTACAGCGAAGCTGTTATATGCTAGAGTCTGGGAAAAAATGCGTCCCATTGATCTCTGTCTATTTACTGGATTGCATTTGCCTGCTTCGCGAATGTGGCCACTGGTGGCCATCTTTTTGGTAGAGGTATATTACCTCTAGCCAATGCACAGCTGGTGCAGCTACTATCATCTATCCATGGCAGACAGCATTGTGGCAGTTGTGGTGGCAGGCTGCCATAAAAATAGCATGGGTGATATTTCGTTTTTGATTGAAATTGTTCGACGAAACATATTGTTGAAACCCGGTGTGAACGGTAGCCCAATCTTTGAGGACCCAGTGAAAGTTTCACGAAATCGCAGCACCGGGGAAAAGCAGCTCAGCACGCATCGAAAGAAGCATTGAAAGCAGATGCCGGTATGGCGTCTGCTTTCGGTGCGAGCTGCGCTGCTTTCCCCCGGTGCTGTGCTTTCGTGGTACTTTTGCCGGGTCCTCAAAGATGGGGCTACTGCTTAAGCTGGGTTTCAAGAATCTGCTTTGTCAAACGACTATAATCGAGCATGAAATATCACCCACGGTACAGTGTTCTAGACCCACACATATATTTATGGCGGTCTGCCGCCATAGCGCTGTCCGCCATATTACTATGATGGCTAGAGATAATATAACTACCAAAAAGATGACCGACCGTGGCTGCATTCCCGTTCATAGGCGGAGCTGGTCAAACGCGATCCAGCAAATAGACAGAGATCAGTGATGTGTCCTCACATGTCGACAGAAAACTCCCCATTGGTCGTGCCAAGTGTGAATAAATAAAACCAAAAAGAGGGGTCAGGTATGAATAAATAAAAAATGAAAGACGTTTACAACTCCCTGTAATGTTGAATTAGAGTGCAGCTCTTGAGGAGGAGGAAGGAAGCGTACGGAGGGGACGGTATGCCCCTCCTCATCTGTACCCTCTCCTCCTCCCTCGTAATCTACTCCTTCCGTACTCCTTGCCTCCTCCCCCTCTTCTCCTCCTCCATCCTTCTCCCCCTCCTCCCTCCCATGCAGTGCATTATGGAAACTGTATCATAATGCAACGCACGCGCTTCACAGCAGTTCATTACGGGACGTTTCCCATAAGGCACCGCGCGGTTACGGCGATGCGTTACGGTTACGGCGACGGCGACACTGAAGCCACTCAAGCCGGAAACGGGCGCTAAGAGCTGTGCCCTAAAACAAAAACAAAAGGGGCAACCAGCTTGAGCCAGCCTTCCTTGGCATTATTAGATAGTGAGATCCTGATCCCTTGTTATCATGTCTAGGCACCGTCCTCGAGGTCGTCTTAGACGTCGTCCTCTAGGCGTCGTCCTCTATGCGTCGTACTCAAGGTCGTCCTTGAGGTTGTCCTAGACGTCCTTTTCGAGGTCGTCCTAGGTGTCGTCCTTGAGGTTGTCCTGGCAGTCGTCCTTGAGGACATCCTAGACATTGTTCTCTAGGCATCGTCCTTGAGGTCATCATAGACGTCGTCCTCGAGGTCATAGCAGTCGTCCTTGAGGTCATCCTAGACATTGTCCTCTAGGCATCGTCCTTGAGGTCGTCCTAGACGTCGTAAAGATAACAGCTTTGATGGTCCCCCATCTTCACGTGAAGTGGAAGGGCTCTACAATTTTTTCTATTGCTAGTGCTCTCCGACATTTGCGAAGAACATGTATGCAGCCTCCTACGTTCACTGGCAGTCTATGAATGACTGGAGACTTTTCGAATGTATTGCTCCAGATTGCCCACGTTACTGGATTAGTTGCTGTGAATGCCACCAGTCTAGCGCTCATGGAGAAAGGCATGCGTTTCCTTGGTATAGAGAAGTTTAATTACCGCTCTACTATGTAGCCACTAGAGGTCTGCACAAATACGGGTAGGGCTTGGAATAGTTCACAAAAAACTGAACTATTCCCGAAAGAAAAGAGGGTTTTTTTTTTTTTGGTTTTTTTTTATTATTGCATTTAGTAACTGTGTGCATAGGTCTGGAAGGAAGGTTGAAGGTTAGTTGATTGCGCAGGCGAGGGCGATCCCATGATACAAACCTTGGCTGGTGTTCAATATGACTCTCAACACATTGTGTTAGTACCACTGTAAATGTATTGCATGTACGTTTTGACAGGGAAAAGTTAGACCCAATGGGCATCTCGTGTCTGCTGTGTATAAGAAATTTAGCCACGATAGTGAGGGAAAGGTTCTCGTACTCGGTCACTAATACGTTTTTTAGATGTAAGCTCTACATTCGATTTACATGGCACGATTCATTTCAAATTCGACAAAGGTTCTTATGCTTAGATTTATATTTGTTTTAACAAAAATGTAAACGAAGACATATTAGTACTGTATTTGCACTTGGGAACTCTACCTATATAATGATTGTGTGGATGAATATCCGAACACTGAATTTATTTACAAAGTTTTGCCACTTCTAACGATTAAAGGAAGGGGAAAAAAAACCACATGCAGTATTTTGTTTTACGTGCAAGTGAAGTTTTAGGAAGTGAAAAGTTTGCAAATGGAAAGTTTTCAGGAAACATAACGTTTGCAGTGCATCACCGGCGTCGTCATTTGAGTGCTAAACCTTGCACTTGATCTTTGCCACTTTTTGCATGTTCAAAGATCTTATGAGGGATTACCATAGTTCCTAAAATCAATCTTCTAGATTTGGCAAGTTAGGGCCTCATCCACATCTGGGTAAAGGCAAGGCCTAACTTGCTTCTTCTCACTTCTCAGTGTTATCCAAAGGTGCCTCTTCAAACTTTTATTTTCGCAGAACAGTAGACAAAGTGCTCGGTGGAAGCTCGAGGTCTGCAGCAGTGTCCTTGTGACTGTTTTTCACCGCACTTACCGATCACATGTTGATGTCATATCTCAGGAAAGGCAGCCTTCCTGTATATCATCATTTGCAGGAGCTGTATTTGGTGTTTGCTGCCACCCATAGATGGTGCTGCTGTCACATGCTTTGTTATTTATGCTCTGTTTATAGATGGTGATATCCATCATTCAAAATGTGCACTTTTGTGTATCGAGCAGTCATAACGCATGCTGGACTTCACAAACATGTTTGTGATTTGCTTTTGTATATTTTTCTACCTCATGCTATGAAATTATGCATTTTGCGCCGTATACAAACTAGAAATTGCTTTGCTAGTTTATCCAATACTGTGGCGGACCTCATATTTTCGGTTTCGTTATAAAAGGTGGAACTCCCATTGTAATAGAGTGTGACCCTACAAACTTGGCATTTATTTCACTATATCTGGTAACTCGCGTTTTGAGGGTGATTATGAGATTTATATTTGACGGTGGTCTGTCAGAAGAACAGGAGCGATGGTAGGTACCAATACGGTAGGATTGTTTGAGGAAGAATGGTGCACGCTAAATTCTTGTTTTTCAAGAAGCTGTCCCTCGTCATCTTCGCAACACTGTATCAGTGTTTGTTATAACAAGGTTCACCTGCATTTCCTTCTAGAAACTTTCCTTACCAAAGTAGTTTGTCAGTACTTTTCTTTTTTTTTTTGTGTGTGATTTAGATTAAAGGGGGGGTGCAACGATTTCCGGACTTGGTCAAAGATTTCTGGAAGTTGCCCTCTGACACTTCTGAAGTAAAGAACAGAAAACCGATTTCGCCTGCGTGTTCTAGTTGTTGCGTAAAAAAAAAAGATAAATATTGGCATTTCGGGCACCCCTCAACTCACTCCCAGCCTTCACGTCATTCGGAGTGCCGTGTAGGTTCCTGTGTGCTATCTCGGAGGACCCTTCCTTTCCCTCTCTCTGCTGACATTAGCGGGCGTTATGCTGCAGCTTAGAGCCGAGCGAGGTCACGTAATCTTTTCGCCGTAGTTCCTTCGGCTGCCACTTGGGGCTGCAGGTGGGGGAAAAAGCTTGACTTTTGCTTTGCGATTATGCAGCGGAATCGCAACATTTTTAATGAAGGAGGTGTTTTCTCTATCCTCCGGGACACGATAAACAAGGTAAAAATGACGAGATGCAAATTCTTTTAATCATAAAATCGTTGCACCGCCCCTTTAAGATTCGGAGGTCACATGAAAATTGTCAGATCTATTTTTTGTTATTTGCAATTGTGTTGTTTTAACTCACTTGGATTTTTACAATTACTTTACAGTTCAGCTTCCTACGACAGATGCCAGATGGAAGCACGACGCTCGCAATCCTCAACCCTGATTGTGGAGCCAATGGTAAGCAAGAATGTTAACGTTTAGGGTCATTGTTTTACACGTCCTGTGCTTTGATTCTAGGTCCAAAAGAGATGAAGGTCAACTTAGAAATGCTGGTTGGCAAACTCGCTCATGGGACAGGGACTCTTATGGATTTCAAAGATGACATTAAGAACATTGCACGGCCAAGTAAGTTTTCGCCATTACAGATTGTAGAGCTCTGAATTTAGTCTTTTAACCTCTGTCTATGCTCTCTTTGGCAACCTTGTCTAATCTGACTTTGCTTTGTACTGGCTTTCAGTCAATTACCTAAACTATGGGACCTACAGCACCTATGCACCTCACTACGACTCTACCTTTGCAAACCTTTCGAAAGAAGAGTCCGACTTGGTTTATTCTACGTATGGTGACGAGCTCGGTTTTCAGTACGCCGAAAGGTATGTGACTTGCTTTTATATTTCCTCTGCCGTGTTGAATGCATGCTACAAAACGTCTAGTAGCTCTTAGTGGTTGGTATTGTGAAATTAATCAAGGACAAAGAAACTCATACATGCCTGTTTGTTGTGGTAATTGTACGTTAAAGTTTCTGGGCTTTGTGATAAGAACGTAAATGGGGACTTAATTTTTTCAGCTTACTTAGCTTTGCCAAAGACTGTGACTATGTCATGGACATGGTGGACAACCTGTTGGACATTCTAACTTCGGGGGAGCATTCGAAGACTGTCAGAGTGCTGGAAGCTGTGAGTTGCTTCTTTTTTCAATCCAAACCCAAACAGTCCAGATGTTGGGATGCATGCTGTTTGTGGCTAATGGGGGCCAACACATTTTGCAGCATCGCAACGGAATTGTGCCAGAGGAGAAGGACCTGCTGCATTTTGCAAAACATGACGAAGTTGACAACGCTGAGGCTGAAGCGGCCGAAGTTACACAAAATGACAGTCGGCCACCCGATGCCCTTTGTGCCCTCAACGACCTAACAGCAGACTCCACAGTTGGCGACAGTAATCATGCAAATCATGTCAGTCATCAGAACTTTGTTGAGTGGCACGAGCCACATGTTTACCATGAACATCATGATCATCACGACCGGCATGATCATTCACATAACACAGGTGAGGAGGATCTGTTGCGATGAAAGTCGTGTTGTTGATGGCATTTGTTAATTAGCTTGTTTTTGCTTTGCTTCTCTTTTGTAGAAAGATTGTCCTACAACAATGCTTCATATGTTGGATATTGCAGTTAATGGCACTTTAAACCTGCAGGATTTATTTAAAATCTAAATATTTGGGCAGGCCGGCAGCCCTCCGAGGCAGCAGGGAACAAATTTGTATACTTTTTATTTGGGGCTGCTCGCTGCCCTTGTAACATAGCCAAAATGTCTCACCCTCATTGGCAGCGCCATTTACTCTAGTTTTAGCCCGCAGAAGCTTCCCAAATTTAAAAGTATCACTGGGCAGGAGAAGACCATACGTCCAAGCAGAAAACAGATTTAGAAAGTATGATTTGAGCAACTTTATTGGTTAGACCCAAAACAGGGCTTACGATTGGTCCTGCCTGGTGACATGATCTTGTGTCATTTTTAGCAGTGCTTTTTTGACAGTATCTTCCACTTCAGATCATATTGCTACTTTGCCACTCTCCTTTAATAACATTTGCCTCTTAGTTCTTGCCAGTTTATCTGTCAAGTTAGCTCACCTCCAAAAAATGCAAAGGGGTACAGTAGACTCATTAATTCAAAGTCCAGGAAGCCACAATTTTGTTTGAATTCTCAGAAATTCATCTATATATGATGCAAGATAAAATTATGATGTGCCATATATTTGAATGGCTACACATACAACGCAGGTATTTGATGATTTCCTCTACATGGGCTTACTGATCATAAGCAGGCATGCCATACAAGAAGCATTTGTGAAATGTATATCATAATTTTTATTATCCCCCAAAGATTTTGTTTATCGTGGACTGTTTTTTAGACAGCACATGACAGCTCAAAACAAAATGTTGTTCATCAGGCCAAGAAGTTGTCTAACAGGGGACACATGAGCAATGAAAACGGGCACCCCGCAGCAGTCTTTATAGCAACTTTCACGGTTGCTGTGACTTGGACCTATGCCATGCCGCCACGTCACGGTGTCCATGCAAGTTGCTATTTAAATTTCCTCGTGTTGCCCGTTTTCATTGCTCATGTTGCTCTGCTTGAGCCCTGTTGGGTGCGCTTCTCACCGAGCACCGGTGCAGTGCGGAGAGGCAACACCCACGGGAGTGAGCTCCACGGGTGTTGCCTCTCTGCAGTGTACCAGTGCTCAGAAAGAAGCGCACTCAGTGGGACCGCGAGAACAAAAGGTATGAATTGCACGAAAACGCCGTTCAAACTAAGCGGCTTATGAATACATCAGAAGCATAGCAGGACAACCAAAATTTTGAAATTTGTCTTAATTAACCAGAAGTAGGAAATATTTTAAGTTTGAATTATTGCAAGCCTACTGTAGCTTTTGACAGGGAACAACGAGGTCTCAAAGAGGAAGGTGCGACCTATTCTCTAAGAGAATTTTGTGTGCCTGGGCAGTGCCTCGTATATAAGTTACATTATGCCTGTCCGCTTCTCTCAAAGAGATGTCCAGGTCCGATGCGCCACCTCACAGCATGCACGAACGGCTAGGTAGCACTTTCAAGCGGCTGTTTGTTTTTATTTTTACAGCGAAGCTGTTAAGGGCTAGGTTCCCCAGGATTGTGTCTGCCAGCGAATAAATGATGACACAAAACTCTGGACAGCTACCGCCATCTATGAGCAATGCTGGCAACGAGACAATAGGCAAGCCGGTTGTCTGGTTGCCACCGTCGCTCATAGATGGCGGCAAGCTTTTTATGGCAACCAGATAACCGGCTTGCCAGTTGTCTGGTTGCCACCGTTGCTCATAGATGGCGGCAGCCTTTCCACACTAGCTTGCCGACTTGCGGCCGGCCATTACTTCATTCCCCCGATAGTACAGCTTCGCTGGTCTTCTTTCACCAGAGTGGCAAGGCTGAAAGGTTTCTTTTTTCTAGCATGTATTTCCATTATTTTTGAAGCTATATCATGAACATCTTTTAACAACATGCGTGGCACTTTTCTTTGTGGGACCATCCCGATTTAAAAAAGTTTCAGTGAGACAAAATATTGAACCTACGACACAAGCGCACGGTCAGGCAGCGCTTGTGCAGCGCAAATGCAAATAACACTGGGCCGTCCGCTTCGGCGGAAGTTTGGGGGTTTTGGCGGTTACCGTGAACCTCGCGCACTGATATAGTTGGCGCCGACTCGTTTGTGCGCAAATGATGGGAAGAATAAGAAATAATATTCCACTGAAAACTGGGCCGTCCGCTTCGGCGGAAGTTTGGGGGTTTTGGCGGTTACCGTGAACCTCGCGCACTGATATAGTTGGCGCCGACTCGTTTGTGGGCAAATGATGGGAAGAATAAGGAATAATATTCCGCTGAAAACCGCAAGCTGGTCCCAAGCTTTGGACTGTCGGTCAAGGGCGTTTAAATACCTCGCTGTCGGTGCTGCTGGGGCAACATCACCGAGTCTCCTACAGAAGAGATTGTTGGCTTCACTACACGACAGGTTTGTGCTGAACGCCTAAATGGCTCTGCCGCACAACAGCTACAGATACTATTTGCTCTCTCCCTTCCGCTTCCCACTGCTCGGAGCCGACATTTCATTCAGGGGCGTCCTCGACTGAAATTTTTTGAGGAACAAGCTAAGGTACTTGTAACCTGAAAAAAAAAAAAGAAAAAAAAAAGTTTTTTTTAAAGTTAAGAATGGAATCTTTTTGAAATGCGAAAAAATTTTGAAAATGTTTTGGTTTTCTTTGGGTGTTATTGTTTTTCTCTAGAATTGATTTTTCTACAATTAACTTTTACTTTAACTTGCACAATAACTTGCACAATCACATGAAAACAAAAATTTCGTTGATGGGAATTATTATTTTTCTTTAGGTCTTTTTTTTTTTTTTGTTGGGGGAGGTTGACAAGTGCAGTATGTGTAGATTTGACCTATAAGGCTGAAACTTAAAATATTATATTTTTCTCAAGGAATTTAATATGATGTCGGGACACTACCCATCCAATATTTTGCTGCAGAATTGTGTATCTTTTTAAATAAGCCAAAAGCTCAACTGCTCCGAAACCGAAACCCAAGCATAGAGGTTCATGACTGACTAGCGTACCGAGAAGGAGGGAGAAATGTGCAGGAGGAGAGAGTTGCCAGGAGTCACGTGGCTATCGCTCCCTACCCAGTTTTTTTTCACTACTATGCTTCTCCGGCGTGTGAAGCTGACGATGACGACTGTGTTGCTTGCACTGTTTGTTGTGCAATTGTTTACTGTTCTGCACTTGAAGATTGATTGGCCGGTACTGCAAACAACAGTTCTGAAGTAGCAGCCCCATGTCCATCGCAACGTTGTTCCACCGTGCGCCGCCATCGCGGCATCCAGCCCGTGGTTTGTCACTATGCTGAGAGTGACATAGTGTGTGTACTTCCTGTGATCTGTGCAACATTTTTTTTTTTTATCAACGTGTTTGCAGCTTTTTGGAAAAATACAGAAAATGGGGTTCATATTCTTTTCTATTTTTAATACTGAATGTCGGCCTTATATGAAATATAACTTTATACATATTTGGTATGCTTGTTTGATCGGCACGTAACCATGGAAAAGAGAGTATGCACACCTCAAACCAGCCAATTCTCGACCGGCGGTGTTTGGGCGGGAAGAAAACCAATTTTGAGCCGCAAATTGTGTTCTGGGTAGTTGGGCTGTCGTATGTCATGTTCAAGTAAGAATTTTGGAGAGCATAAATTCCCTGTCAGTGTCCCTTTAAAGTGTTCCTTTCCATTTCTGCAAGGCAGCATACAAACACGACACACTGGACTGACTGGTTCGTCATGTTCAAAATCTCTTAGCTCGGAGTTCAGTTTTGTGTGTGCTAACGACTTTTACATAGAAAGTTGCTATACAAAAACAAAAAAGTGATGCATAAAAATACTAACAGCACAATGACAAGGACAGAGTAAAAGATTGACAGTCAACAGCTCTGTTGTCTGTCAGTCTCCTTATGTAATGCCCCTGCCAGGCCCCTAAAGGGACCTTGGAATTTTCGGCTGGGATAAACTGGGATTTTACTAATCATATATTGTTTAATGCGCCAAAATAAAACTAGTGCACAAAAGCCTAAAGCCTGCTTTTCGGCATGAAAATTTAAAAATATAGCGGACTATTTCGTGCCTCCTTTCCTTCGTAAGTTCTCTGCCTTTTCACTGTGATGCATCCGCTGTGCCCAACCACGTCAGCCGAATCAAGCTCACTTACTTGACACGAGCGCTGCGTCACTCGGACGTACGCGCTCGTCAACAATCAATCCATCGACAAACGTTTGAATTTGCATTCATGGCCAATGAGTGCCATGACAGCACTTATCATCACTTGAGAATGACAAGTTCTATGGTGTACTTAATAAGAACGGTGGAAGCTTGGAGTCGTCGCCTCCGGTGCCCAAGCATGTCACGACCATGTGATTTCTCATTTCGCTTTTGAGTTGAGGATTAGAGCTACGGAGGAAGAAGTTGAAAAACCATTTCGTGGTCCCTTTAAGAGATAATAAATGAGTGAATGAATGAAGTTTACTCTTTCTATATCGTTGCACTGTTTGTAGTTTTAAAAATTAACCAACTCTCCCGATCGTCAACGTTAATACAAAAAATGTCGGAGGCAGCCTTTCCCGAAACCTTAACTTTCCTTCAAAGTTTCCCGACAAAAAATGTTAGACAATTCAAATCTTCTATGTACTGAGCGTCAACTATTTTGTGCTACGTTGTCTACGCTGGCACAGCTTTCACAGTGCTGCAACCCTGCACTGCTGTGAGAGCACTTGGCTTTGTCTTGAATCTCATTTGCATTTTCTCGAGAGAAGGAGACATTTTGGAGCACTGCAGAGGCTATGCTAGCCTTGACAACGCAGCACAAAACAGTTGACGCAAAGTATGGGAGCTCTACATGGGTGGTCATACCCCAATTATATCTTTTTACTTTTCCTCTGCATTCGCTGCAGGTGCAGTTAGAATGATGTGTGTATGTTTTCCAGTTTCAGAGTCATCACCGCTGGACAGTGCAGACAGCGACGTCAATGCTGTTCTGCAGCAGAAACTTCAGGAGTCCACAGAGATGATCCAGACACTGAGCCGACTGCAGCGTGAGCGCCTCAGTGCCACCCCACCGGCCCACCTGGGTCACATCCAGGGAGCCAGTGAATTAGAGTTGGAGCTGGGTGAGCTTCTCCCCTTTTCTCTGTCCCGTCCTCTGTTAAAGGAAAACATTAGCCTAAATTTCGATTTTTTTTTTTTCTTTTTTTAATTTTATCAAATTTTAGGTTTTCAGTTTTAGAAACTAATTATACACCCTTACACAAAATTTGATAACCATACGCCAAATAGTTACGTTGATATAAAATATTTTCAACACATTGTGAGGCAGTAATAAAGTAAACGAGTTCAATGTTTGAATGCATTTTTCTCCATTTCACTTTTTTGCTGCAAATTTCGTACGAAGGAATCTTTTGTTTGAAAGTAAACATATTCTGATACCACGATCAAGATGTTTCTTTACTAAAATTTACTGGGAAATCGGGCTATATATTTTATTTTGTGTTAAATTGAGGTCCTCATTGGGAGAAAATTATGTTTTTAAAAATTGAACTAGGACAGATATGCATCTCATATTTTGAGGTAACAACTCTTCCTGAAATATTGACATTTGAGTTATAAAAACTAGATAGCCCGAAGTCCCACATCCCCAACTTTATATTCAATTGCTCAAAATGGTACTTAAAAGCTTAATTTTAATATAATAGATTTCTTAACGAATAATGGCACATCTTCCTATGCAGGTATGGGAAACTTTCCTAGAGAGCTGAAAATTTGCACAGTACACAGACATCTGATGTAGAATCTCCCCTGCAAATGTACCGTCCCGACACCTTGCGGTACACTGTTACGTCACAGTACACTGGCGGGAACTTTAAATTGGGCCTCTTATTTCTATTTTTATAAAAAAAACTACACACCTCTATAGTGAAATAATTTTTTTGTAATGTCCTGACATGCCATTTCAACGCCTAGCATGAAAAAAAAAATTTTTTTTTTTTGGCGTGCCAGAGGCCTTTTAAGCGAAACCCAGCTAAACTCGTTAAGTTTGTTCCCAAGCTTCCAAGTGTTTAGGTATAGGCTAAATTGACAGATTTGACGTAAAATTAAACCTAGAGAGATGCCTAGCTGTACCCAATTGTGTGGATTTACAAATCTTGTTACATGCAAATATTATTTCTCAATCTCGATTTTGAATGACAAAAATAAGAATCACAAATGATGAATACAGGTCAGGGTATCTCTGCCTAACATACTGTTACATAAAAGCCACAGCTTAATTTTAAATCTTTTACTACAAATGTAGATATGATTGAAAAGGTTTACTCCGACTTAACATAACAAATTAATAACAAAAGGTACAGACGTTTCGCCACCTATGCAGGTGGCATCTTCAGTATACACTGACACAAATGAGGTGAGGTCGACCAGTCTACTTATCACACACGTCCCCGTAAACGTTCGGCAGGGGGCCACGATTGGTGTTGCACACCGATGAGTCACGGCGAATGCACCAGGACTCGACGAATTTTCTTTGCCCCCACCGTTGTTCTCGGGCCAGCGTCGTCGCATTGTCCAGGTCGAAACTGTGTCCTGTCGTCCAGCAGTGTTCGACAAGTTCCGTCTTGGACCGCGTGGCATGGGTGGCCTTGGCAACGTCCCTTTTGTGTTCTTTCAATCTCGTTGCCCTCTTTCTGCCCGTTTCGCCGATGTAGGTCGCGTCACAATCCCCGCACTGCACTTTGTATACGACCCCCCTCTGACCGTCTGCAGAGGTGCGGTCCTTCGGTTTCGGGAACACATTCGCTAAGGTATAATGTGGTTTAAAAACAGTTTGTACGCCCAGCGGGCGCAAAGCTCTCCGAACAGCATCTGACACGCCCTGGACATAGGGAATAGATACAATAGACGTTGCCCGCACTCGTGACTCACTCCCCCTTCCCCTCTGCATTCGCCTCTGCGTATCGTTAATAAACGTCCTCGGATAATGGCGCCGCTCTAACGCACAAACCACATTTTCTACCTCTTGCAACCGTAGCTGCTTGTTAGAGCACACTGTATCACAACGTGATAAAAAGGTTCTTACAACGGACCGTTTGTGTTCGGTCGGGTGATGCGAGTCAAAGGACAAAAAATTTCCGGTGTCACACTGCTTACGGTACACCGTCGTTTCCACACTGCCATTACTGGCCCGGCGTACCAACACATCCAAAAAGGCAACACGTGTGGAAACGACGGTGTACCGTAAGCAGTGTGACACCGGAAATTTTTTGTCCTTTGACTCGCATCACCCGACCGAACACAAACGGTCCGTTGTAAGAACCTTTTTATCACGTTGTGATACAGTGTGCTCTAACAAGCAGCTACGGTTGCAAGAGGTAGAAAATGTGGTTTGTGCGTTAGAGCGGCGCCATTATCCGAGGACGTTTATTAACGATACGCAGAGGCGAATGCAGAGGGGAAGGGGGAGTGAGTCACGAGTGCGGGCAACGTCTATTGTATCTATTCCCTATGTCCAGGGCGTGTCAGATGCTGTTCGGAGAGCTTTGCGCCCGCTGGGCGTACAAACTGTTTTTAAACCACATTATACCTTAGCGAATGTGTTCCCGAAACCGAAGGACCGCACCTCTGCAGACGGTCAGAGGGGGGTCGTATACAAAGTGCAGTGCGGGGATTGTGACGCGACCTACATCGGCGAAACGGGCAGAAAGAGGGCAACGAGATTGAAAGAACACAAAAGGGACGTTGCCAAGGCCACCCATGCCACGCGGTCCAAGACGGAACTTTTCGAACACTGCTGGACGACAGGACACAGTTTCGACCTGGACAATGCGACGACGCTGGCCCGAGAACAACGGTGGGGGCAAAGAAAATTCGTCGAGTCCTGGTGCATTCGCCGTGACTCATCGGTGTGCAACACCAATCGTGGCCCCCTGCCGGACGTTTACGGGGACGTGTGTGATAAGTAGACTGGTCGACCTCACCTCATTTGTGTCAGTGTATACTGAAGATGCCACCTGCATAGGTGGCGAAACGTCTGTACCTTTTGTTATTAATTTGTTATGTTAAGTCGGAGTAAACCTTTTCAATCATGAATTCACCCGGCTTTTGGAACATTTTTGCAAATGTAGATATCCACAATCACAAAGTTTCTGTTTCTTTTTAAAAAAAACAACACTAAAGCTAGGAGAAAAAAACATTTTTTTTTCTGCCCAATTAAGACAGGCATGTCCTAAAATAAATTTTGTTAATAAAAGTGTTTGCTCAGTGTTAAAAAAAAAAATGTTTGCTCAATATTTATGCTACAGTACAAACTTCTTTTATGTGCGGGCAAAACCGAAATTGTACCCCTCTGGGATGATGATGATAGCATTTGTACTCGGCTATACTCTGTTTCACGATAACTTGGCAAACTGTGGAGGCTACGGCCCGTGCGACTTTAATTAGAGCTTCGGAGCGAGGCATGTGTCACCACGTCACGGGAGCATTTGTGTCACTGCGCCAAATGCAAGGCCTAAGGATGTGATTGCTGCGCCAAACTGTGCCAAGGGGCTAACACTGCTACATCCTGCTACATTTTGCGAAAATATGGGTAATCCGCGCTCCGCCCCCCCCTCTGCGCCAAAAAACCAATTTCAATCACCTTTCAAAACCAAAACTAAACTCAGTACCATATTTGAGCGGGTCCATATCACATGAGCGAATGACGTTTTACCGAACAGCGACATTTGAGCGAATCAACGTTTTAGCGAATAACGAAAGTGCGCCCTAACCCCCCCCCCCCCCCCCGCGCTGCGTTTGCGCTGCTTCACGGCGACAGTATGCGGCGGCTCATTGCGAAAATGTTAACCCACTTGGCCCATCCGAAAGCGCCCCTTCGTGGCGTCCGACTATTCGCTAAAGTGTCATTTGGTGAAACGTGGGTGTTCGCTAAAATGTCATTCGATCAAGTGAGTGCCTCCCCCAGGTACCAGCCATGCAGTTATGCCGTGAAACGAAACCACGTTTTTGCGCGGCGGGAGTTTCTTCGTGAGCTGAAGCACTCGCTCCTGAAAGCAAGGACCGTGGGAAAACTATATTGAATCCCTGCCTTCCAGTCACGGTGGTCACACGACGTCGGATGTTGCAGTCCCCACGTCGCTGCAGATATGACGCTTTCTCAAATGAAACTAATTACCGCCGCATGTTCATTAACATTCCTGTTCTTGTTTAAATTGTGCGTTACTACAAAAATCCCTCTCTAACACAAAGACCGCTGTGTCGAAGTATTGATTACCTAGGTTTCTCTTAGTGGGCTTTGTTTCGAGAGGGACTGTGGTACGTGAAAATTTGCTGCGAAAGAAAGTTGGTGGAGAGAAGTGAGCTAAAGGAAAAAAGGCAATGTCTGCGCGCTTAACTCGCACAGCGCGCTTGTTTGTCTCGAGTTGAGTCGTTGTACAAAGTGCTCCAAGAACTTTTTGACCCTGGCTCGCGATGTCTCGCATCGATGCGCTCAGGTTTCTTTTTTTTTTTTTTTGGCATGTGTTTGGCGTTTATTTTATTTGTGGGCCTGGGGGGGGGGGCGGGGGGGGGGGCAAGTACACGCCGCTGGTCTGTTTTTTGTCGTATGCTCGACAGTTACATTTTGCATACAATTTTGGGAATCGACGGAGTGGAGTGGCATGGTTTTTCGGTTTCGATCGAACAGCCGTTGCCTCCGCTCACGTGATAAAGCATGCGCAACTGCAGACCTGCCGAAGTTGCCCTCACGTGCATACGAACATGATTGCACGACAGAGGCACCATCTGGGACGCTTGCAATCCATAGTTCTACGCAGGGGTGGGCAAAATACATGCAAACATGTATCGAAATACAAATACAAAATACTTTGTCAAAAATGTATTTAATTACAAATCTAATTACATTTCCAAAAAAGTATTTAAGTACAAGATACAAATACAACCAAATGTATTTGGTCTCCTCCAAATACTTTTCCAAATACATTCCTCAAAATTTGCGTCAGCGACTTCAGGGCACCTGCAACGGGTTTCTGGGTATCTCATTTTAATTTTGCATTGCACACTCGGGAGTTAGTGTGCGAGGCTCTAGTAACGTAATAGAAATATAATCCCCAAAAAATGTAATCAGCTTAGACGTAATAGGTGAAAAAAGTACAGAGCTTCAAGCAGCTTTTTTTGTCGATTACATTTTGGTATAGAACAGCAAAGAACCGAGACGACCAAGATGCGCAGCACTAGCTAGAGAATTTTTTATTGTTGCAACTCGCACCAGTTACGAATATCTGGACAACCCGCGCATTTAGAATGTTCCAGGCAACAATATGGATGGAAATTAGGCTGGAAAGCATCACAAGTTGTCACAGGCATTTATTTTGCCAGTCTGCCTCTGAACGTCAATTTCGTCACTATTCTTGCCTTGGACTAGCACCGTAATCACGAAGTCACTAAACGCTTGTGCTTGATTGAGAGACACTGCATTTGGCGCAGAACGTAGTTTTCTTCCTGCTCTGGACAGTGACAATAAATTGGAGGGATGTATTTTCACCCACAAAATTGTATTTAATTACAATTGTATTTGAAATACCCATGTTTTAGTATTTAAATGCACACGTCAAATACATTACCCAATTTGTAATTAAATACAAATGCAAATTACACAAAGTACTTGAAATATGTATTTCAAATACTTGTATTTGAAATACTGCCCATCCCTGATTCTATGTTTGCTTACTTTTGACGAAAATCTGGCACGTCGGGAACCAGTAAAACGGTGGCAAGCGGTTTTTCGGAATTGCTCGGCAATGTCTACAGCACTGTACTCTTGTGGGATGTCTCAGCAGTAAAAACACAAGCAGCTAGTTCCGTCACAACACATCACATCACATCAGAACACAACACAAATTGCCTTCATTTATGCAGCACTTAAGACAAATATGGTATTTATTTTTCTAAGAACATCTGCTCCAAAAAGCCAATTTTGCAGCTGCGAAACACTGTCTTGACTGCTCCAAAAGCCACTTTTGCTGCTCCAGAACACTGTTTTGGTTGCTCCGAAAGGTGCTCCCAAATGGCTTAGGCCAATAACATCACTGAAGGCCCGGAGGAACTGGCTGTCTTCTGCTGGCCAAGAGTCGTCTCCTGCGAAACAAACCAACTTTGGATGAACGTCCATCACCGTGACATTGCCATCCACTTGAGTAGCGAGCTCTTCGGGGACAGTTCATGAGACAACCATACGCTCAATTTACCCGTGAATCTGTGGCAAATGGAAATGCCAGGGCGACGTTTTGAGCAGGCGTGTCCAATTACAGGGCAGCGATCGTTCAAACATACTTCAAATGCCACATTGTTCTCGGAAAAGAGTTGATCCGAATTAAATATCATTAGAAACTAACATGTCTTCGCCTATCTTTGTTCCGTGTTGTGTAACCAGATGCAATTGCACGAGTTCAATTGCCGTTAAAAACTAAAGAAGCGTAGAACTACATTCTGTCGCGAATGGTGCCGTTGCTGTGGCAGTAACAAGGCCTCCGTGGCCTCAACTATGGGGTGTTGTGAAGTGCCTTGCTCCGATGCCCTTATTGGGGTGCAGGGGACACAGCCTCCACAGTTCGCCAGGTTATTGTGAAAGGGAGTATCCTGTGCACTCTTGAGTTTGCTGGACCTCAGAGTGCACACTAGTTGGGTAAAAACACTATCATCATCATCCCACAGGGGTACAATTTCGGTTTCACCTGCAAATTGAAAAATTTGTTCTGTAGCATGAATATTGGACAAAAAATATATATTTTCGACCAACATTTATTTTGAAACATGCATCCCTAACCATGTACCAAAAAAAAATTCTTTTTTTCTAGGTTTAGTTGTTTTTTTAAATACACCTGCGAAGCTCGCTTCCGCGTGTGCTGTTTCGAATTTCTAATCATAGTTTTTAATGATAAACTATTAGATATTCACTTCAAAACAGAGTGCAATATTTATTTTTATTTTTCTAAGTGTTAATCGCGACGTGTTAGCCCCTATCACGCCACGATCAACACTTTAAAAAATAAAAAGGTTGCAGTTTATCTTGAAGCTGATATAGAAGAGATTATTATTCAAAACTACTATTTGAAATTTCTAATATTCTCACAACACTAATTCAACAAACATGATTTGGATTTTCAATAAGAATAGGGTAAGAAAATGAAAAAAAAAAAAAAAGTTGTTACATTTTAAATTTTTTAAATCAAGGCTTCTTCTGTTGAAGTTTAACTACCATTATTAGCATTGCACTGTTTCTAAGCAATTTCTCTAAAGTCAACTTTTATTTCTTTTAGCGGAGAAGGTAGCGAAGACTCTCTCGGAATTGGCATCACATGTAAGTGACGTCAATACTGTGCATTATTCCTTTTTTTTAAACAACTTTCTAAGCTTCTAGTGTTGTCTTTCATGCTCCATTTTTTATTCCAATAAAAAGTAATCATTCTGAATTATAAAAGTGTTTCTGGAGCTGAGCACCAGTATTTTGCGTGAAGGTTGCAAACAAATTTGCGTAGTTATCAGAATTTCTTAAGTCTGCGACCATTCCCGGGAGCTAGCCTACTTAAAAATCTAGACAAAATTGGAGGAAATAAAGGGGTGGGCTAGCCTTCGATTGTGACCAAAAGACGTTTTAGAAAAATATTGTAGCCAGGCCAGAAACGCAAAGTCTACTAAGAAATGTGGAAACCGGTTTCTTCACAGCCTGTTTGCACAAATCATCAGTCACGCTTTTCGAACGTGAAAGCGTGTTTACAGTTTCCAAGCGATTTTTTGGACGTCTTCGCAGGATCATGACACGCCCCGTAGAGTTAGTGTAATAACAGCGACAGAAATTCCCGACACCATTAAACTCGGTGCGCAATATTTCAAATTTTGTTTGCACCATTCGTCGCAAAGGCGCTGCCGTGAATTAAATCACCGCCATTTTGCCTTTATGTTGTAACCTAGATGCAACCTCCCATGCCCTAAAGCAATAGAGAAGGTGGATTGAGGCTATAGTCTGATACTTCAGTTTTATTATAGCTGCCATGGCCGACGTTGGTCCGCCCAATGACTATGGCATGGTTGCTGTTCTTTTCGTGTTCTTTGGATACAAGCAGCATCTGCCGATGGGCCTATTAACGAATTGGGTCTTGATTAGCCGACCGTTGTCATGAAGCAGTCCCAAATAGCGCCAACGAGGGTCCTGACAGACGCAGCAAATATAGCAAGATGAAAATGGTGAAAAAGGCTACCTCATTACTGCCCAGGTTACCTGGGCAGTAATGCCTAATGCTGGGGTGGCCTATCTCTTGAGGGTGGGGCATCTCTTGGGATATTAGAGTTGTGTTGTTACTTAGCCTAAAACATGAGCTAGCTTAGGGTGATGTTTTAGCGCCTCAAGCATGAGTCTTGAGTCTTTTTATGCAAATTGTACTGGCAAGACAGAAAATAAGTGTTTGAGCTTTGTGCCAGGCCCAGTTGGTGAAAGGAGCATCTCAGCTGGCTAATCCACTGATTTGACTCGGAAATACAGGCCAAGCCGGGAAGCATAGTGAGTGTGGATGCCATTCGCAAAGCCATGGGCATCAACTACCCACCCACTGGATCTTCGTCCTGCCACCACCATCACTCATGTCCTCACGTCACTTCGCCGTATGGTGTGTCAACGCATGACCTCCCAGACAGCAGCAGCAGCAATGATGTCTCCCTACGCACCAACGACTCTCCACCTTCCAACACTTGATTGAGTGAGGCTGGAAACACCATGAACCCTGACTCTCATTGCCACACATTCAAAACCTTAAGGAGAGTGTTGCACCTTTCCGACCAAGTTGTCTCAAGCAAGCGCTACGAAGTTGCAAGACTTGTCATTCACTTTGGAGGCGGCAGACTTCCGACGGAAAAGTGGGCTGTCTTGTGGTGATGCATCATCAGTGTAACTTCCCGCATGGTTTCAAAGATTGGTCCATGTGGCACATGGTGTGACACCCTCCGGACACTTGAAGTTGCCGAAGTTGGACGCAAAAGTATTTGTTTGGTGTGTGTAGCCGGGAAGAAAGCTATGGCATCCTAGGAAAGACTGGTGCAGTGCTTGAATTATTGACTGTGATTTTTTAAAGCTCTAAATGGTGGATATAAAGTAGCAGACGTAAATATATATATATATATATATGTTTTTCAAACTATGTGTGACACTGCTAAAACTTGTAAATGGTTGTGTGACAACTGCTAAGTTTTGTAAATGCATGAGTGGTTGTGTGAATGCTCAATAGGGTGTAAGTGACAACTGATCCCAGCAAAGTGCACTTATACCCCTGTTGGATGGCACACTTAAATGCCATTTATGCTGGAAGCCCTTGCGATTTATAAAATGCATTTAAGCATTCCCCTGCCTGGCAGTATCTCATTTGCCTCTGCTGCCATATAGGAAAACATAATTTCCTGTAGTTCTAGCTGTCCCTAATGGCAAACTTTTTCTGTCAAAATCTGATACTTGTTATTGAGTTCCATACTATTTGATTTTGCAGTTGCTTTTTCTGAATCTGATGCAATTCCACATTGAGTGTATGTTATTACAAATTGGCAGCTATATTATTTGGTTGAACTCTCGGAGAAGGTTGAGCTGAGCAGTACTGTCTCATTCATAGCCTCCCCAGCACAAGGATAGGCCATATCATTTGATCCATCCAACTAGTAGTATTCAATCAGTCCCTCTTAATATGACTACTGTCAGTTTTTCTATGAATGTTATAAACCAAAGAATTAATGTTTTGCTTTTATTTACTGAACTTCCAGTCAAAATGCAGGTGAAGAGAAACCTTGGCAGGCCTCTTTTTGGTTTTTAGCTGCAAACTAGAGATTGGATTGTGCCTCCAACAGAGAGGCCAAAGTCAGTTTTCATTTGCCACATCCCACCTTCATCAAACATTGCATCACTTGGAATGCAGTCATCTGTGTACGATCTTCTCCAGCCATGTTAGCAATCAATCTTGTTTTATGCATGCAGGAAAAAACACTAATGGTTGATCTTCAAATGCTAAGTAACACTAATTTTTTTTTTCTAAGGGTTGTTTGACAGGCAGGTAACTACATTTTGACCTAGAAACTCGTGCTTTGTTTTTGTTTTTTTTATCCCAGTGGTAATTTTATGTTTTATTTGTTTGTTTTGCACCTACCACGGCTACACTGAACTGAGTGGGAATTGATTGAAATCCAACTTTTTCTCTTCAGAAAGTATTATCAGCTGCTCCACCATATCAGTGACATTTCGAGGACCTCGAGGAGTACTTGTTTTGACAGATGGAAGTTTCACACAAGGATGTCCTTCCTCAATCTGCTTCCGCTATCTGTAAAGTAACCTGTTTTGTTGTTAATGGTGGTGGTGTTTTCATTGAGAGAAGCATAAAGGCACAGGCTGGTTGTGTTTCCATTAATGTTTTTTTTTATTTTTTTATTCACCAGTGTAGGAAAACATGCTTTGTATGCATATTCTTTGAGACAATCTTGCTTTCACTCAGTTATGGTAGCAGAAAAAATGCACTTAGTGATAAGCTGCCTCTAAAATAGTCCTAGTCTTAGTCATATGCTATGTCCAGCTTAGAATTTCAGTTATATAACATCCATGTCATATTAACAGCTCCCCACAATCTTGATTTATTTTCTCTTGCTTAACAGGAGTTGACTCAGTATTGAAAGTTTTACAGAAAAGCAACCCCTCTATTAATGCATTCAATCTGGATGCTTATTTTGGAGGAGAGTTTATCCGAAGACATATTTTGTTCAAATGTTATGAAGGTGGTCTTGGCAGGAGTAAACACTTGAGAAACTGAAGGCATTACCCAATTCTTTTTAACCTACACTATTTTTTCTTCTTTTTTTTTTTTTTGTGTGCATAAATGGCATTTGGGTTGTACCTGTTAGCAGGCTGGATCTCAGAAGATTTTGAGATGACTGTCTGACAGAGGTATCGGTGTATCTGTGTAGTTGGTTTGTTGCCTTTTTTTTTTTTTTTCTTTTAACAATGTTGTGTATTTGGAATGAGTAAATCATCACACGGAGATGAGTGACTGCTAATTATTGACATGCTGCAGGTTTGCCCCTGTGTCGTTTCCTCCTCCTGCAGCTAAATATGTTTTCAAATGACTAACTAATTTGGTGAGCTGAATTTTTTACAGACAAATGTGCCAAGTGAGGGCTAGAAAGGAAGGACTTTGCAATCCAAAGATGTGTGTAAAATTGGGATGGTGAGAATGATCTGGTGCTTTCAGCTTTTGGTACTTTATTCATTTCATCTGTTTGGAGGAAGCTGCTCCCAGTCGTGTGTGCCCACCCCTTCATAAGGTATCTTTTGTAGTCCTGCTGAGACAGTCGTTTTTCACAGATAATTGTGTGAATAGTGCGTGTGTATATACATATTGAGAGCAGTCATGGAAACCTGTTTTTCTATTAGACATGCCATCAACCACTGCAGACCGAAGTAAAACGTTAAAAAGGAAATAGCAGATCAATGTGCTGAAACAGCCACAACTGAATTGGCCTGAATTATTTGGCTGGTTGCTGGTCCAATATTGGACTACTGAAATGTTCTAGGATTCTTGTGGTATTTGCAAAGGTCTGGCGAAAAAAAAAAAAAAGCTCATTAAAGCAATATTTGGGAAAATATGGTGTCAGACATTTTCATTCATCCCTGGGCCCTTACTGTAAGAAATGTTTTATTTTTTTTCTCTCTCTCTCTCTCTCTCTGTGTGTCGTCTTTAAGTTTGCTATTTTGATGACCTCTGTACCAAGCCTCCTGGAACAAAGTTCAGCATTTTTTTATTTAAACAAAATTATATTTTATGTGAGGACTCCTATAAAAAGATGCATACAGTGTGTTTTGTTTTGGACTACAGATTTTTTTTTTTTTTGTGAAAGTTACAATAATGCAGTTTGTGCAGATGAGTTATACAGCCAGGGGGACGTAAAAGCCAGATAATTAACTACTGTGTGTTAACTTTTTAATTAGTGAAAATAAACACGGTTCAATTATAAACTTGAAGAGTAGCATTGAAAATCTTTACATCAGTAGATTTTAGGACCACTTCTGGCTATGGGCGCAAGGCAGGCGGTCAAAAACGTAGATGATAAGAGATAGAAAAAGTTTTACACGGGCACGTCGAGGTTGGATTGCTGCGAGTTGGGTGCATTTTCGGAACCCAGGAAAAGAACACGAACCAAATCATTCTACGATTGTCTGATTTTCGATGACGTTTGAAATCATTTGTTTATTTTTAATAATTTAAAAGTTAACAAATTTTAGTTCATTCAATCCACCGTGATGATTAACTCACCTGCACAGACCGTATTAGTGTAGCTTTCACAGCATTTTTTTTTCCCTTCAAATTTGTGAAGCCTAAAAAAAAAACCGTTTTTATAGTTGAGCACTCGGATTAGGAAAAAAACAGATCTTTACAAAATTATCTTCTTTTTCTTTCTTTTTTTTTTTTTTTTTCCTGTGCTGGTTTGCAAGAGTGCTATTTTTGCGAGCACTGTATAAGCCTTCTGGAACAAAGTTAGACATTATTTGAAATAAAAAAATATAAAAAAATTATGTTACCCTGTGCACCAACACTTCAAAAAATGTGCGTTTCACGGAAGGCTAGCCAAATCGCTCATGCAAAAGGTACACATCGTGCAGAAAACAGGTTTATAATAATGTTTGGTGTAATTAGTTTCTTTAATTACTTTTGTTTAAAGGAGCTGTGCAACGATTTTAACGTTGAAAATATTGGAATCTTCTGCTTTTGACATTGTTCACCTTGTCACAAAGGACAGAAAACACACACCCTTATTCGAAATGTTGCAATTCCGCCGCGTAATCGCGAGGCAAAAAATTAGAATATTTCCCGACCTGCAGCCGCGAGCGGCGGCCATGAGAAACACGCGGCGTGACGTCAATGGGGGTCTTGTAGAAAGATAGCAAGTTGTGCGAATACCTGCTCGATAAAAGGTGACTTATAAATCTTGTCATTCCGACATAAATGCTTCAAAAACCTGATATCGTTGACAAAACTTTTATTATACGGAGTTTTAGTGGCGCCATCTATCCTAGGTCCACAAAACCATCAGCTCTATCTGCTACCGCGAACAGGAGGGGGAGGGGGACAAAGCCGGACGCGGATGAGACTCTTCCTTTCACCATATTGTATGCGCTGCGCCCGCCAGCACGGGGTCGCGAGCGGATGAGTTCTCGCTGCTCACTGATGGCTCTAGAGAGAGAGCTTCACCGGAACCCCGCGCAAACCCCATTGGCGTCACAGCGCACGTCACTCGGAAGATGGTGACGGAGTTGAGAGGTGCCGAAAACCTCAATCTTTGTCCTTTTTTTAAAACAAAAACTAGGACATGCAGGTAAAAGCGGTTTTTTGTTCTTTACTTCAGAAAGGTCGAGACACAAACTCCGAAATTATTTAAGCAAAGCACTGAAACTATTACACATCTCCTTTAATGAATGTTTTAATTAATAAATTTAAAGCATTTAAATCAGTATACTTCACAAAAGTATCGTGCACAGCATTTTGCAGTGCTCAAAAAAAAAAAAAAAAATAATGATGTGCTGTCCTCGGAAATGTTACAGAAACTCCGCGTTGTCAGTCGGGCAGGGGCGGATCCAGAACTCCGTTTCGGGGGGCGGAAAATTTGTAAGGATACTATTCTCCCATTCTTTATTGTACACCGGGAGGTCCACCCATGTCAAATTGCCCTCCGAGAAGGGGGGAGGGTCGATTCTTTTTTTTTTTTTTTGGGGGGGGGGGGGGGGGGGAGGGGGGGGGGGGCGGCCACCCCTGTCGCCCCCCCCCCCCCCCCCCCCCCCCCCCCCTTCCTCCCTTGGATCCGCCCTTGCAGGTCGGGGTTTCCATTGGTTTTGAGGAGACCTATTGGTCTGACAACAATCAATCTCAACGACAATGCATGGAGGGAGGGAAAACTGAGGCAGAAATACGGCCACTTTCAAAAATGCCTCAATGCAACACTGCGCGCGTTGCTCGCTGAGAAGCAGTTGGCCACGGAGCGGAGTGGCATGGTTTCGATCAGACAGCCGCTGTCTGTACTCCTGCAGCCAAGCACGTGAACTTCCAGGCCTGCTTAACTTTCCATCACGCTCATGCGAACATGCTTGCACGACAGGGGCATCGGCAGGGATGTTGTAATTCATCGTTTTATATTTGCCTACCTTTGCCCAAAATCTGGCAGATTGGTACCCGCAAACACAGTGCCGAGTGTGTTTTTTTTTTCGGTATCTTTCGGCAACGCCTACAGTAGTGAACACCTGTAGTAAGTCGGAGCAATGAAAACCCAAGGAGCGTTATGACACGATCATCGTGACAAAAACTGAAACCAAAACTAAGTGGACAGCTGGTACCCAGAATTCATTTCGTGCCACCAGTGGCTCAGAGACGCAGCGCTTCGGCGTGCCAAGGAAACTGATAAAGGCCTGTTCACACATGCAGCGGAGCGCTACAAGCATAGCGCTGACCTCGCTCTAAGCACGTGCCGACGGGAGCTTTCACCAGCTTTGTATCGCACCGTCAAAACTCTTGCTCATGGCAGACGATAGGTAGCGGACGGCACGTGAGCAGCGCTACATCAGCGCTTCGCTGCATGTGAGAACCGGCCTTAATGCCGCGAGACCGGCGAAACTTGCTTTCGATGAGGTGTGACTTTTTCCTGCGGCACTGCGTTTCCGTAAAAATTTCCACGTGTTCTCAAGGGCACGTATGTGAGGTTAAAAGCGCTAAAAACAACAATTTTTAGCGCTTTTAACCTCTCATACGTGGATCACCAACTAGTCCAAGTGCATACGCTTCTACACTCTCAAGGGCACGTCTCGCGGCTTACACAGGGTTTTAAAGAACTTCTTTGGCGAATGACGACGAACGAGTAGAAAATGTGTCTTCAACACGCTGCCGCCAGCGTATTGTTTCTCTGATTGCTTGTTTTCTGTTTTTATTGTTTGTTTCCTGGGGGGTCGAGCGGCAGACGCTCTCGTGTACGGGCTTTCGCCTATCTGCTTCGCCTCGCACGCCCCCCAGGACACAGTTCGCTTTTTGTGCTAATAAAGATTATTATTATTATTGTCTGCGGTGTACTAACGTGGAGGGCCACGTTTCGCTACTGCCGAGGTTGCGGCCGCAGACGATGTACTTGCCTCGGACGGCGCCATGTTCCCGCGCGCCGAGAGGAGCAGGGCCGGCTTGGCTAGAAACCAGTGTTGGGGAGTTGCCACTCCGGAGTTGGAATGATTCCGGAATCATCCCACATTTTCGCGACCCCGGATTGGAATGGGAATGGAGGGCGGCGGAGAAAAGCTCACCGGAGAAAAGCTCACCGGAGATAAGCTCACCGGAGAAAAGCTCACCGGAGAAAAGCTCACCGCAAAACCGGCAGATGCGGAGAAAAGCTCACCGGCCTTTGAGCGGATGCGGAGAAAAACTCAGATTTTTTTAACTTAGCGGATCCTACGTCAAACGTTGCAATTTAACATAATTCGCACTTGTCACTTCATCAGTTTTTTGTAATGTTCTTGAAGTTCATTGGGCATGTAGAGGTGGTCGCCTTTATTTCTTACTTTTTTTTTCGACCGACAGGACGGCATACCCCGCTCTGTCTAGTTTAGCCGCCTGACGGCGCTTCGGTCGGGAGTGGGGAGGCGCTTTGGAAGTCGAGTGTCGCGTTTCAAGGGGTCCCGTGCCGTTACAAGTTGGAATTCTTCTTGTTTATGAGCTTTTCCCGGTATCGGGGAAATGGCCGCGGGCATGTCACCCTCTTCGTTGCATTTCATGCGGAACCCCGGTTTTCGAACCCACGTGAAAACACTTAACTTGCCGACAAGAGGCTGCTGTCTCGGCGCCGCGTGCGTCTACCCATAGACCTTGGGACGCGGGGCCAGACGCAAAGGTTTGCCGGGGAACCCACGGCCGAGACATTAACACGTCACCGGTCGCCAGGTCGTTTGCTGGGAGACAAAGTGCTTCAGAGCTCTTGAAGTCGTGTCTCGGAACTCTTCCGTGACGCCCGGGAACCAGGCGCTCCCTATATATTTTGCATATGCCTGGCGGTGGCCTTTGGCGGTGGCATTGACGTGCCCCAGCCGACATGTCTCAATGGTTCTTGCCGTTCGCGAATGTGTATCCCCTGTGGCCAGATAGGAAAGCCATAAGTCTTATTTTATCCTCGGCTTCTGAGAACCAAGGCTCGGCTTATGGTTCACTCCCGGAGCAATGACCTCTGACCCGATTGGTCGAAAGTGCGCTGTGTGTAGGCGTTGTAGTTTGGTTCCTCTAGCCAATGGGACCAGGGTCGAACCCTGATTGGCCTACGCAGGTTCGAGCTGGTCGGACAGGTGAATCTTTGAGTTTTGGAACGGGCTCGTGAGCGACCCCACTGACGTTCAGCTCCCACGTGCGCCGCGTTACCTGTCGTGCGCGACAGCGTCTTCGTCTTCGCGGCTACAAGGTAGTCGCCATCCTGAAGCGCAAGACACATGGACGACAGAATCGTCCGATCCGACGTCCGATCCGACAGTCCGAACGCCGCTCCGAATTGACCTTTTTCAAAGATCGCTGGGCGCATGCGCCGACTCTGAGAGAGGAGAGGAAAGGGAAAGGCGCCATTTTTGGT